TGTGTGGGGGTGGGGAGGGGGTGGAGTCTCAAAGGGTGTTTTTGATGAAGAAATGTATCTTTTCCACATCCATATAGTGATGTAATACTTCTGAAGTTGTCAGAATTTCCAGGATTAAGGACGTACCCAAATATAAGATATTTAAATGCACAGCACTAGAGGCCATGAGGCAAAAATTTCGTTTAAAAAAAAAAACAAACAACCCAAAAAAACCCAACTTCCATTTGCTTTTGCTGTGTCAAAATAGGTGAAGGTCTGAAACTTGGCACATAGGCTTAAAATTGCCTGTAATGGCTCAACCAATGACCTTCTGGAAAGTAAATATCCCAAGCTCTTTCAACCAGCTGTTGTTTTATTTACTTTTTTGCTGGCTCAGGTGGCACTTGTCCAGCTATGCACTGAGCAAATTCAGCATATCCAAGCAGCAATAATCCTACTAATCCCATTAGGGGAGAAAGTAAGAGGTGAGCAAGTCCACTGAATGGTCATGTAAGAGCCAGGATTCATAGCCAGAAGCATGGAACGGGGAAGAAAACTTCTTTGAACAGCACTTGCCATTTCTTCAGCTCTAGAAATAGTATGGATCGTTATCCTTAAGAAGAAAGAGGATGCTAACAGTTATCTTCGTTGGTAATATTAACTTCTATTAAGGGGATCAAGGGGATGGACACCTATGAAGTACTCCAAAGTAGACATCAAATAATTCAGTTTTCAGATTATCAGGCAAAGGTTATACAGTTTTGTGGTCTACTAGTATACTTCAAAATAATGCCTCATTAATTTGTGCATAAGCTGTTCTCTCTCTGGTAAAGCTTATGTAATTTACTGAGGAAAAAAGGAAAGTACATCCCTAGGACAACATTACTCACTCTGAAACTGTCCCTTTTATCTCCCTCTTCCTTTACCAAAGACAGTGCAGCTAACTTCCCAAAGGCATTAGAGGTACTTGTCTATGTTGAAGAACACTGCAGCTTACTGACATTTATAGCATAAACTATACTTGTATTCTGCAGCCAAATCCTACTTGAAACAATACTACAGTCTCATCCTGACACTATGGCAAGGCTTTCAGTTTGTAAGCTGTCATATCTGACAGAGCTGTGAGCATTATCTTTAATCTTTCAGGAGAAAATACTCTCAATAGAGAACTGCACATGAAAAACAGAAATATATTAATTCCCTTTAAAGACTGCAATATTTAGTCAGAAGAGCTTACACAGAAATTGAGCAGTAACCTTAACTGTGGCACACTGCAAGAAACTAAAATGGAAGCATGTTTTAAAAAGTGAACTAATTACAAATTGTGGGGAGGTCAGATCCCTGCTTTTAACATCAAGAGGACAAAGCTAGAAGACAGTCTGAAATGAGCTTTATGAGTTATTTTTCAGTATAAACAGATTTTTAAGTATAAGTTTGGTATGCACTAGATATGATAAGCTAATTCAAAGACAAATAAAGGTCTGAGCATAAGTCACAAAAAATTCTACCAAAATTGGTAGAATGAAAGGCAGTGCATCCCAGAACAGTAAACTGAGTCTTGGTTTCCTTAGCTCCTTGCTATTCTTTGTTTTGCCTTGACCTTACCTGTTGTGGCAATTTCATACAAATAAAACCAAGGAACGAGAGGTTATCTTTAGCAGCATAAATCAAATCTGACTATTGTGACTCTGACATCATTAACAAAATCCAAGACCAAATATACTTATTGCAACCATTTTTCATATCTTTGATTTTATATTTCTGGGATCTGTTTTTTAGTTAAGCTTAAAGAATATAACTTTATATCCCCATCATAAATCAAACATCATGGATGTCTTTAAATATTCTGAAAGGCTCTTAGTGGATACTAAGTATTTTAGATAAAGAATCAGAGAAATGTTGATCTGGAAGAGATTTCAAAAGATCACCCATCTCTGCACACAGGCAATATGAAATATACTACAGTCCATCCCTATGAGATGTTTCATAAACCTCTTCTTAAAACTTCTATAATGGAAATTTAACAACTCCCATGGGAAGCATATTTTAGTGTATCACTACCCTTATAGTTGGAAAGTTTCTCTAGCTTGTCTTTGCTACAAATATAGGTTTACTTAAGTGGATACTAAGAGAAACTTTCCAATTATAATGATCATGAAGTATCCCCAAGTCTATATCAAGAAGCCACTATAATTTTCAAAGACATTCTGGTGTTTGATACGCATACAATTATTTATAGTTTCACGTTATCTTATGATTAAAAACACTGATTTCAGTAGTTTTTCAGTAATAGAACTGAAACCAGAATTTATTTTCTGAGACTGAGTTTACCTTTAATTCTTTAATTGACAGGACAAATATGTAATGCCGTGTTAAACAACTATTCTGGATTATGTAGTATATTTTTGTATTAGTTGTTAAAAGCCCAGCACAAAATAATGATTAAAATAAAATCACGTGGTCTTTAATTTAAAACTCAAGGATGGAGTTCTATATTCTACTCCAGCAGGAAGTCCTGACTTTAAAAACATGACATAATCTGTTTCTATCTCATCTTTAAAAGGACACTCAATATTCATTCATATTAGAAGTTTAATGAAGAAACTTGTATGCAAAATATTTCAAATGCTAACATGAGGAGTGCTGCTTCTTAACAGGTTCACAAGGTGATACAGGAACATGGCATGTCTCTAAGAAAAGCTGACAGGAAGCAAAGAACAAAAGAGCAAGTAAGATACCACTTCTGCCAAACACGTGTTTTTGGTACTGGCTTCTATATAAATTGGCTTCTGTCTGCTGATAGTGTCTTGATTGTGTTCCTAAATCAGTGCATGACTTATAATGAATTCAATTGATTCACTTCAGTATCAGAAGTACAAAAGCCACAGAAGTGATACACTCTGCAACTGAGTAAAAGCTACCATAAAGACAAGTAGCTCTATTTCAGGGCTTCCTGAAATCAGGGCATTCTGACATATTAGTTATTTAGTAAGCTACCTTTAGAACAATCCAACTGAGATACAACAAAACTGATATACCATTTCATGGTTTGTTTAAACATGCACAGAATGGTTAATGTTCTGTTCTCTCATGTTACTACTCTGAAGCAATCCTCATCAAAATTCAGACTATATTTGTATTTTTAAAGCACAAATCTGTTTTTTTTTCAGCATTGTTCTAGCACAATCTATATTTGCATCAAAAAGGCTTGAGGCAGCAAATGTCATGTTTTGCATAAAATTATTTTTCTATTTGGTAACAGATTTCTTGCTGCCATGGGATTCTTGTGATATTTTTCCCTTCATAATTTTTAAAAAAATAAATAAATAAAAAAACCAACACCCACGGAGCACAAATAGAAGCAAAATTTCACCTTATAGTCACTATTTCACATTCTACATTATATCCCCAATCAAAAAATGTTTTGTTTTACAAATATTATTTGTAGATACAATATTGTTTCAGGCTTGCAGTCATGAGAACAATTATACTGCGTGGCTACTGGAAATACCCTGCCTTTAGCCTTGTTATGCACCTGAGATGTGTGAAACTGTTTCAATTACATATATATTACAGAAGACCTAGGGCCTAATCCTGCAAATGTTCAAAGCATCCTACAACAGCCATTTGTCAGTGATAAGGAAGAACAGATATTGGAGGTGCAGGATTATCCTAAATCAGGCCTTAAGTGTTAAGTGCATACAACCACATTATATGGTGACATCTCAAAGTAAAATCCTGTATTTTTATGTAATGCAGAAGTAACACACACAACTTACATATAGTAATAATTTATTCTGAAATGTTCATTTTAGTCTCTGTTGAGACATCACCCACGTCTCATTAATAAAAGAGCAGCCATCTCACCTCAAATACCAGAATATACAACAAGATACAGCATAGCAAAAAAATTCTACCTACTTTAAGATAAAATCTAATTCAGGTAAAATAATTTTGTTCAAGGTTTTACAGTTACACAGTTTTTTTTTTGTTTTTTTTTTTTTCTTCTTTTTCAGAGCACAAAGAAAGTGTAAATTGTTACACCATATCTATCTATGCACATTATGTGACCACAGAAATGTTAATCATTACTTCATAAAATGAACCATCAGTTCCATTCATGCAGAAAAGCAGACTGGGAAAGCTTGTTCAGCGGAAACCATATTACTGTGAATTTCACAGCCACATGATTAGTTATTGGGTTAGATGAACTCACAAATACTAAACATGAGCGTATTTTTTTGCATAAATAATACCAATTCTTCCCTGATGTAGTTTAGTTGGTCTGTAATCTAGAAATTATTGGTAAAGCAATATGACTGCATCATTTCTATTGTGCTATTCTATGATTTCAACGACAAGCAATATTCAAAGGATAATGGGATGAGATGCATGTTAAACATGGGAATACATGTTAAACATACTATACAAATACACTTGCTTTAGCAATTTTATTCCAAACTGTCAAATCAGGTATTCCTGCAAATATCACCAGTGGAGACAAAGTATACTATCAAATATGGCTTCCAGAACAAGGACCATCTAACAAGAATCAAAGCTATTTACAACAAATAAAAACAAAATAAACAAACAAAAAATCAATCCCCATTTTTTTTGTTTCATTTGAAACAAAGTTTCTAAGTAGCTGCTGTATATAATACATCAGTTATTTTTTTTTTTTTTTGTTGCACTTAAACAGAAGTTACCAGGTAAGAGCCAGAGTGACGTTTAGGGCTTTGTGTTCCACTGGAGTCAGTGTTTTCAGACTTGGTGTCACGTTTCTTGGTGCTATTATTCACTGGGGTTGGTATCTGTGAGGGTCGAGCAGAGCTATTGTCCACGCTGCTCTTCCTACGGCTTGGGTTGTAGTTGAAAGGAGTCACCCTTGCTGCCACAGCACCGATGGGGGAGCTGTGCTTGCTTGAGCTACTGGAACCGAATGGAGTACGTTCGCTAACAGTACTTTCGTTAATTTCTGGTGCAGGAACAGGATTATTCTGCAGAGGCTTTGTTTCAGCGCCCTTCTTGTCTGGACTGTCTATCTGAAAGAAAGAGTTCAGACGGTTTTCTAAGCCAACGGTACGAACAGGAACACCTCCATTCCCTGGGGTTTGCTTTTCTTGAATCTCTTTAGGATCTTTACCATTCACACCCCCTTTCTCTGAAATACTGTCAATAACGGGGGGAGTATTTCCAGTTGGGGACCTTCCAGATCGAGGGTTGTTAATTGGGCAGTCCTCTATCCTCACCCACACATCCTCTGTCTTAGAGACAGCTGGAGCCATCTGATAGATGAGGGTTTTGGAATCAGAGCCATTTGTGGCACCTGAAGAAGAATGCTGCGGATCATTCATTATCTGAGGAATTTCGTTTTCTTTTATTTTCCTCCAAGTACCTTTTGCTGGTGCTTGGCTTTCTTTACTTTGCTTGTGTCCAGGGAGAGAACCTCCAAGCTGCTTTTCATCTTCACTTTTTGCCTTTTCACTGGATTCTGAAGAAGCTGACAGGATTGAGGAGGAACTTCCAGTTCTCCGCCAAGTGCTTACACGAGGAAGTGATGAGGAATGCTTACTGTGCTCACGCTTCCACGTTCCTGATCTGTTGATCAACAGCCTAGACGGACTCTCAGAATGGGAACGAGCTATGTCATGACGCTTTGCTGGTCTCCCATCATATTCTGTAGTAGGGCTCTGATTAGGGGCTAATTTTCGCCAACCACTACTCTGGCCAGGTGAATGAGTGGATAAAGACATATCAGGAAGAGAAGGACTTAAAACTGGGGTCTGTAGTTGGGACCTTGTGGGAGAATCTGGCCTGGAAGGCGACAGCGATTCAAATGAAGCTGACTCTTCTAATTTCCGTCTCAGAGTTGGGCTCGGAGCCTCTTTAATAAAAGTTGACTGACGAACGAGAACAGGTCTCTCAGATCTGTCAGATTCACTTCCACTAGACTTTGTGGATGGCATTCTGGATAGGTCAGTCTTTTTGTTTGATCCACCAGTGCTGAGAGTTTGGTTTAACCCCTTTGAAGCAGATTCACTTCGTGGAATGCTACTGGTACTCTTAGGTAAGGCAGTTTGCTTTGTAAGGTTTTGCTGGCTCATCTGCCTGCCCGGTGGTGTGTATGACATTCTACCTGAACTTGAGGATTTAGTTGAAGCTGTGCTGGGAGATGATGTTCTTGGCAACTGTGACAGTTTGTTGGGAGGACTGATACCATTTCTTCCTGGGGAAATGGAGTTTCGGCCAGGAGATTGCAGAGGCCTACTTAATGGCTGCTGCTGAGGTCTGGAAGGAGTGGAGTCTCTAGATCCTGATCTAGAAGGTCCTTTACTTGATCCACTCTGGTTCAACCCTGATGGCTGCCTAGTCACAGGAGCTGGCTCAGGTTTCACTGATGATTTGGCTCCTCTTGGAGAATTAGTCAAACTTTGGCCTTCACTGGGACTCTTGGAGTTCATGTTTTTGAGTGGGGGTCCTTTTTTGGAAACAGGACTAGTACTTGAAGAACTATTTCGAACTCCTGGAATATGGATCATTGTTCTACCACGTGAAATTGAAGGCACACTTGTCTGTTGTGGTTGCTTCAAACTTGAAACTTCTGAATTAGAGCGTGCTTTTCCTGTGATCATACTTTTATACACTTTCTTCCCTCCTTTGATTCCCCTACTTTCTGATTCTACTTTTTTAGACTCCAGTGTACTCTTCTCTCCTGGCTTAATAATTCTTGGACCTTTATTACTAGTGAAAGGTTTTTCTTCTTGGTCTGGGGTAAGATGAAATGGTGACCCTAGAGAAATACCGGATTTTAATGAAAGGATAGAGTCAGAGTCTGATGAAGCTTGTCTAGACAGTGATGCAGCAGCTGCAGCTTGATGCAAGCTACTGACTATAGAATTTGCACCTTCTTGTATAGCTTTCCAGTCAAAGTTTTCTGAATCAGGTGAAAAACCATGTTCTGAATCTGGCCTCTGTATTTCTCTTAAATCCAGTGTTAAATCTTCTGCTAGTATACCACCTGTGTTTCTGGAATTATTTTTTTCACCATCACTCTTCATTCTTGAGGGCTTTTTCTTTTTAGGCATAGCAGAACTAATGCATTCCTGCAGAAGATCATCTTCTGAGTCAATGCTAAGAGAACTCAGAGAGCTGTTTCTAGAGAAGCACACAGGAGTATCTTCAACATGAAATGATTTAGGTGCATAACCAGAAGTCTGTGGTCTGTTGGATTCCACTTGTGGCTCAGGAGCCTCAGGACGTTTTGCAGGTTCCCCTTCTTTGTTGTTATTGTTTTCTTGATCAATATCACTGAGGGAGCTAAGAGACGAATTGCGAGAAAAACAAACAGGTGTGTTTTCAATAGCAAAATTCTGCATTTTCTCATCTGTAGCTGCACCTCTGTCTGGAATATCTTTAGTTGACTGAGAGAAAGTTTTTGTCTGGCTTCTGCCCGCTGGGTGTTTTTGACAAACTTGTGTCCTGTTACTTGGCTGCTGATTTGAAGACTGTTCTGCATTAGAGCACTCTTTACTTTCCATTTCCTTTCCTTCTTTTCCTTTTCTTAATTCTGCCTTCTCCCTTGAAAGGTCAACATCATCATCATCAAAATCTAAAGAACTCAGGGAATCATTCCGTGAAAAACAGTAAGGAGTTCCCTCAATCGGTGTATAATGATGAGGGGAATCAAATGCAAAGCTTCCTCTTACACGCTCTTCATTATTTGGCAATTTGTCATTAAACTCTCTTGAATTATTTTTAAGGTTCTGTTTCTTTGCATCTCTGTTCTCTGGATAGCTTCTTTCATTACTAGCATTGCTTTTGGGTTCTATGCTTTTTCGCACACGTGCTCTGTATTCATTATTTTGGGAAACAGGCTTTACTGGTGATGTTGGCTTCTTTTTCTCACCTTCTGGTTGGTTTTTATTACTTGGAGATGACGATGCTTGTTGAATTTGATCCATTATCTTCTTCACTCTGAAAGGTTTGTGACTTTTTCCTTTTGGCATAGCTGAGTTAATGCACTCAGCCAAAATATCACCCTCTTCTGTTTTGTCATCATCCAGGCCAAGGGGAATCACAGCTGAGCTTTTTGCTCTCTGAGAATCATCAGTACTTCTGCCTTCTGTAGGAATGGTGTCCCGCTTTTCAAACTCCCCTGACTCTGCCCCCACACCCACATTGTCTGCATTGGCCAGCTCACTTGGGGGGGATTCTATTGTCAGGTCACTCAGAGATGTAGCTGTTGAAAAATTTATTGGTGTACCCTCAACACAATATACCCGTGGCATATCATCTCCTGGTGTAAAAGTCACATGCTTTTGTGATTGCAATCTGCTTTGTGAAGGCAAAAGTTTGTAAACTGGCAACTGGCTGGGCTTTCTGGCTACAGGAGGAGGTATTTTTTGAGCAGATGCTTGAGAAGGCTTTTTGGCTTTACGTGAAGACTTTGTTGGCATTGCAGAAATAATACACGCTTCCAGTATTTCAATATCATCATCAGAATCATCCAGAATGTCTTTTTCTGCTTCAGCTGGCTTCTCTGGTTTCTTCTCCTGGTTATCCTGTGTATCATTTGACTGTTCAGGTTCTGCTTCGTTTCCATGCTCATTTTCATGAACTGGAGGCATAATTCTTAACTCTGCATCCTTCTGTATAAAAGGCTCATCAAGGCTCAGAGCACTCAGGCTAGAAGAGCAAGAAAACCCATCCGGTGTGCTCTCTGTGGCAAAATGTAATAGTGTATCAGCATCTGGCAGTACCTGAACTCTTTGAACAGCTGCATTTACAGCTGCCTGTCTAGGACCAGGCTCTCTCTTCTCTGTAGTGGTTGCTTTTCCTTTAGGTACTTCTCTTTTAACTTGGACTCCTTGAGCAGGTGGTGGTGTTTTACTTCTGCTTGGAGGCATTGTTTGTCCAGGGCTGTCTGGAAGGTCACTGGGACTTATAATACCACTTACTATTCCACTGCAAGGCTCACTTTGAACTGAACTAGCAATTGAACGGCTTTCAAAACTATCCAGGGAACTTACAGAAGTACATCTGCTGAACATGAGTGGTGTTTCCTGTACATAATGTTCTGGTGGGCTCTTAGGAGTTTGGGCACCACTCTTAGAGGGAGATTTGGCACCTGAAGAAAATTCAACAGCTTTATGTCTAGAGGAATCAGAAGGAGACAAGCTAGAAGTCTGAAGTCTAGTGGATTTTGTTCTGATGTGTTGTGCTGTTGATGTGATTTCACTCGCTGCACCTTCTGTAGGTAGAGCCCCGCTGTTCTCCTTCAGTTCTGCAATCTGCAGTGTGTTATTGGCATCTGTGCCACGTGCGGATTGATCACGTCCTATTTCATCTTCAGCTGATGACAAGGATGACAAAGAACTACACCTTGAAAAACATATCGGGGTATCTTCAACGCAGTAAGTTTGTATAGTTTCCTGATTAATTGAGGGAGTCTTACAGGAGGCGTTCTTCTGTGCATGACCACTTCTGCTCTGTGCAGAGCTTGGGTGAAGCTGGTTCTGCCTCTTTGAACCAGCTGAGGGGGCTGATGTGCTCCCACTGCTTGGGGGAATATGGTCAGTTTTATTGAGTTGCACTGAAGAAGTCTTTGGAAAAGTAAAAGATGGCTTCTGAGAAGGTGCTGGAACTTCTGTTGAATACTTTAAACTATAATCAATAGGCTGATCAACATGATGTTCCTCTTCGTTGTACTTTATGCTGTAATTAGTTGGTCTGTCTTCCTCTTCATGTTGTTCCTCCTCAGAATAACGTTCACTATAGTTGGTTGGCTTATCATCATCATAATCATCAACCTGGCACAAGGATTGGTTTACTTTCTGATTCATTCCAAGAGTTGGACCTACTCTATTCTGATCTGAGCCAGTGGATCCTCTTGATCTAAAGGAAGAAACACACTCCTGCTGTCCAAATGGTGTCTGATATTTCATGTGTTTATCCTCTCCACTTTCAGAATACACAGGGTAGGCTGCATTTTGGTTCCTTGACTGTCTTTGCTCATTTTGTTTCATTTCATCATCTATTATATGCTTAGGCCTTGCCCATCTTTCATTCTGGGAAGGACTCTGCCTTCCAGAATTTAACTGCTCATCTGAGTATTTAAGACTATAATTAATAGGAGTGTCTAGTTCTCCATCATTGTCATCCATGTGATTTGCACTGTGAATCTTGTGTGCCAAGTCAGCGGGATATTGGCCATAACTACAGAATTTACTTTCATCATCTTCAGAGTAAGACTCAATGGAAGGTTTCATTTGGCCTCTTTTACCATAGCCATCACTGCTGCTGACACTATTTAAACTATCATTTGAAGCTCTTTTGTATTCCATTTTTGTATAAGGCACAGGACATGTCCTGTTTGAGTTCTCGGATTTTGGAAAGTATGTATTTGAGTGAGTATGGGCAGAAGCTGATCTCCTCTGGGCATTTCTGTCTTCTGTCAAACAGTGTATTTCAGAAGTGGAGCCAGAACTTCTGTCTTCCTGTGGAACGTGCATGCTTGTTACTTCTTCCATAACTTTGGCAATCTGAGCTGCAGCAGTAGAAATCTGCATTCCTATTCTCTTAGAGGAACTCCCAGTACTTTCTGCAGCTTGATGATAGGTATTTATACCTACTGTTCGATCCCTTTCAACACTCCTGTCTTTCTCAGATCGAGAATTTTCTGCGTTTCCTCTACTGGAAGAGGAGGAGCCAGGCAATACTGTAGTATTTACATATGGTGAGAGCACAGTCATATTGCCAGCATTAAAGCTGTCTGACCTGCATACCCCGTCGTCATGGCGGCTGGCGTCCAGGACATAGTCACTGTACACATTTTGCTTATGTCTCTGCTTATTGCGGTGAGATGCTTTCGGGCTTAAGTTATCAATGTTGTCAAAAGTCTCTGATAAATGCTGAGCATCTAATTCTGCTTCCAGTGCCTTTTGCTTTCTGACATGGAGAGATGGGAGGCTTGATCCTGGAGACATAATGTTGGCATCTTTGTACTTTGCTGGCCTGTTTGCCATGAGGTTCCGTAGAGCTGCGGCGCTACCCATGGCTATCATTTTGTGTTTTGAGTGAATCAGGTTTTTCAGCATGCTCACGGCTCCCATGTCCCACAGTGCCTCCTGATCCTTTGCATTTCGAGCAGAGAGATTCCACAGGGTCCCACATGCATTACTAACTATTGTCAAACTGTGTGACTTCAAGTGTTGTAACAAGGTTTGTAAGCAGCTGTTCTCTCGCAAGATTTGCCTGGTGTTGAGTAATTGAAAACAAACATCCGTAAGTGGCACTTCAAAAGGATAAGACACAAAGCAAAACAGAAACCTATTATTCTAGAAATTAGTTTTGCCCTTACAAAGGTTAATTAAGAATTCTCCTGTGCAAATAACTCACATTTCCACTAGCTTTTATCTGAATGCTAACCAAATCCTATTACAAATATGAATAGCTAGCTTTTAGTACAGTTCATCATTAGTAAGCAGCAGCTCTTAATCTGTTTGCACGTTTCTGTTATGTAAGTGAAATACCCACTTCACCAAATGTACTACAAATTAACTGTTTTTAATTACTATACTTAATATATGCATTCATATTAAGGCTTGGTCACAGAAACTGTCAAATAAATATACATGTGGAACCACTAAAATTGCCAGAAGTGTACCTACCTATGGTCCTCATTAGTAGCAATTAGGCTAGAAACATTTCTTAGTATTCCTCCTCCACTTTCTATGATGGCTAAAGTATTTGTTTGGCTCCGGTATGTCAGTGTGCCAACCAGAAATGCAAGAGCACCATCAACAGCACATATGTCAGCTTTGTTCCCAGTGCAGTGAGCTGACAAATTCCATAAGGCACTCAGAACACTTTTCAGGGTGGATTCCTAGGAAAACAGCAACATGACAGGAGAAGTTTTCAGCTACTGACCTTAAGCTCTCAGAAACACATTCAAGGAGCTGTGTACATTCCAATTCTGGTAAGGTGGGTGGCAGGCAGCAGTGCGCATGTATTTTGTTCACTTTTCTCCTTCCTTCAGCCATGAATTTGGTACTGCCTGCCCCAGAGGTATCAGAAATATGTGCCTCAATACTTGTTTGCTGCCACAATGATAGAAAGGGCTTGAAGACCAGTTGGCAGGAGTCTCTGGGGTGGAATATACTCTCATCTACACACCAAAGAAGTTGTAGACACCTACTAACTAACTGAAAAGAGTTTTTATGAAATGACAAAATTATAAAAAAGACTATTTTAACAGCACAGCTCATGAAACTGAAAAGCAAAAGCAGTCAACCCTCATAAATAAAATCAGATCAATACTAGTTTTGAGGTGCCATTGCTCCATTGTGGTCTGCTGCTAAGTTAAATCAAACTCTTCTTCCAGGCAAATTACCTGAGCCACATCAACTGTTTCAGCAACTGCTGTTATCAAAAATGGTCAATGGTCATATTAGTGTTTTGTGTAAAATAAAGGCAATCTCTCAGAAATTCAATTTAATCACTTATAGAAGATACCTTCTTAACTTCTAAAGCACATTCCATTAATGCTTTCACACTTCCAACTTCTCTTAGAGTCTTTTTACTGTTTACATCTGCTCGCCAGGACAAGTTCCTCAACACACTTGCAATGACCTGCAAAATAAGAAAGAAAAAGAACATATTTCAAGATAGGTACGTTTTTAGCAGGTTATCCAACTTTCTTCCTGGACTTATCAAATGCAATGTTAATTAACAGTAGTCATGTTCAGTTACTGAACTAAAATTTGCTAACATCTTTTTGTTGTATTGTCTGCTAGAGTGGTCTAATGTTTCAGCATCCAGTTTGATCAAAGGTACTGGCTTTTGTGTGTTGGTATTTAAAACAGAGATTGGAAATCAGGTTCCCTGCTTCCCACACTAGCAGAACATTTGTAGATGCATTTTCTTCTCTATTCTTATGCCTGTTCTAGAGTTGTATCATCTCAGAGGAGAGATGTATGTAATATTTTTCTCAGTTTTTCCATTTAGAAAATAGAACAATATTACTTGCCTGTCTCTCAGATGGTATGATTATTTTTATGTTTATAAAGCTCTTTAAAGTATTTTTAAAATACACTGCGCCTTTTGTAAGCAGAATAGTTATCTCTAGAAGATGTCCTTGCACTTGGCAGCAGTTATACTCAAATAGGTTGTCACTGTAGTGGGCAGTCATTACATGTTAAATTCTATCCATTTGTGAACAGCTGTAAGCACGCATATCTCTCATGAAACTAATTTGATAGAAAACCTTTGCTTATGGGTGTTCTCATTGTCACAGAAGTGCATGAACTTTTCAGGTTACATGGTGAATGCTCCCTTGCTCACCCCCGCAGTGGAGCACAGGGAGCCACTGGCACATGGAAGGGCCTGGGAACACCCAGCCCTGGCTGCTCCCAAGGAGCAACCAGCTCCTCAGAGCCCACCTCAACACACCAGAGCAACACAGGAGCCCAAAGCCAGGTGGGAACTGTGCCCTGTCCAGGCTCTTCCCAGAACTCTCTCAGGGAACCCACCACCCCGTGGCATGGCTGTGACACTCAGGGGAGTCAAAGGGAGCAGCTCTCTGCCCATTTTGGACTGGGGATGTGGGACACTGTGGGATTCAGGGGAGGAGCATTCTGGAACTGTAGAACGCTTATTGCGGGATGGCAGGACCCAAAGGTTTCAAATACAGGAAAACAGATGGACTGAGGTGATCTTTCAGCACAGGAAAGCATAGGGGACAGAAAGGCACAGTGACATCTGAACAGCTGACTGGCTGATACAGTTGTGTGGACATGCTTTTTTAGTCCACTCACTCCCATATTCTTACTAAATCCCATTTATAACTTGTCCTGAGTGAAGGACTTCCTGATCTGTGTGTGTGTGTGGTGTCTAGGTGCCAGTGGCTGGACACATGCCAGAGGTCAGAGGGCCCATGGGCTGTGACTCTCTTTTCAAAAATACTCAATACCTGTCCTAATACCACATCACAGAGTTTATCCAATAACCTCTATTGTAATTCTAATATTGTCCTTAACTGTAACTAGCAAGCTCCTCCTGTTAAGGAGAGAATATTTCGTTAACAGCATTTTAAGAGATAAGGTCAATTTTATTTAAAATTGCTCTTTTGTCTGATGATTCCCTCAGACTGCAAGGAAAAAGGGGGTTTTCTTTTAAAGAACTGTTCCACTTTGTATGCAATAAGCATTAATTAAAGCTGATTATAATTTAATATTTAGCAATTTTACACAAGTTCCAACAGTTCTGCTCTCTCAGCTCTGAGGATTACCCTAAGCACTTCCTAAAGGCTTTATTTTCAGGCTGTTTTCCTTACACAGCAGTACCCATTAGAACAGACAGTAACAAATCAGGGTCATAAAAAAAGATTTGTAGCCCATGCATTATGATTTAAAAAAACAACAAACCACAAAGAATCCCAGAACATGATCCTACAGATAAGAATGTTTTACAAGAAGAATGTACCTCCTAATTAATGAAATAAGTATGAGAAAAATTTTACATCAAAGTTAAGGCAGACAACAAAAGAAGAATTTTATCTCAAAAGACCATTACCTGCTGTAAGTCTTCACTTTCAGATTTCAGCTGGGCTACAAGAGCTCTCATGCAGCCCTTCATGGAACATAATGTAGCCTGTTAGCAATCAGGAGAAAAAATAAAGTGAGCAGGATTAAACAGTAGGTGAGATGGCTGCTTCTGCATAATGTTTTGATATTTTAAGCAAACCATATCTAAATTCAAGAAAAACTTAGTAAATATGTTGTCAACAATAAATACTTGGTTTACAACTATTAAAATTTCAGCATAGCTGTTGGTTTAAATACAGAAGTGGCAAAATTGTACTCAAATTTTGTATTTTTTACAGCACTTCTAGGACATGATCTGGACCATTACTACCTTAGAAGTCTTCTCTCCTTTGCACCAGATAAAATCCCCTATGAGCCAGCAATGTGTTGTTACCTACTGCCTAGTGAGAGAACAAATCCTGAATTCTCTGAAGTCTGTTATTTCCATTTACTGCTGAAATCTCTTCCCTCTAGAGCACAAGGGTAAGTCTTCAGTATTGAGTTATTTTAAGATCCACCGTCTGGCAGATCTATTGAAAGTTTCTAGCGTTTATAAGAAATGTCCTTCTCAGAAAGTAGGGAAACCAATTTTCTCTTATAATGATTGAAGTAGTGCCCAGTTTGATACAGATATACTCCATATATTTAAAAGCAAGCTCTAGCCTGAAGAGGTTGGAAAAATTTCATTAGACAGTAACAGTATTCTTAAATAACTGAAAACGTCAGAAAATGACCCAATTACGAATTTTAATTCAACATTCTCAGAAAGAATCAGTTACTATAAAATTGCTGTGTGCCATACTAACCTAGTTCTCATTAAAAAAGCAGACCAACAGATAAAATCCTTGCTTTCAGTTACAAAAGTGATTTGAGAGCCAATACCATAGTTGTTTATGATGGAACATTCTGTTTGTGGTGCTCTCTGTTAGCAACAGGATGGAATGAGAGAGGTATATGGAACTCCTGCCTTGAGTTTAAACTCAATATCCTGTCCTGGAGATTTTAATCACCTGTGTTGAGAGCTGTAATTCAAACAAGTATGAACTGAAATTACTGCAACTTTACAGGTCTGCTCTCACCTTGTTTGCCACATCTCCAAAAGTCAGGTTTGTCAGAGCCATGCCAGCATACCTCCTTAGGGTAACACTATAGTGATCATTTGTAAGTCCATACATTTCACAATCCACTTGCAGCAGTTCAGCAATGGCCTGCAAACCTCCTTTAAAAAGAATTCAGGTAAAAAGTTATAGCTGTACTCTAATGTTGCAAGTACAGGACATATGTAGCAAGGAAAAAATTGCATTTTTATGTACAGAAGAAACCTCAAACGTCTGAAAACCACAATGCTCAGAAAGACATATGAATTACTAAAATTGCATGCATGGAATTTACTGAGCACGGACTAAACATTTCAGTCTGTCAAATAAGAACAAATGTAGGATGAAAAAAACCCATTAAAACACCAATCAAAAAACCCCCCATCCCAGAAAGTAGTCTCAATTTTAAGTTCAATACTTGTAAAATTGCAAATATTTCCACAATATTACTTTTCCAAAATTTGCAATTCATGCCAGAAAAAACAGTAATTGACATAATAATAACTTATCCAGTGGGAAATGGTGTAGTTAATTTCAACTGCTTTCAGCACTTAGAGAACAACTGACACAAATGAATTGTTGTTAATAGCTTAAACTGTTAGTAAAAAAAAGCCATATATGCAGTGACATGCACAAGGAGTGCTGTGGTTTCTAGCAAGCTTCTGAAGTCTGATCTTACCAAGCTCATTCATTGCATGTCTGTGTTCTTCATCAAATGAAAGTTTCATCAAAACACATACTGCAGGACAAATCTGATGATCCACTGGAGCAGGCACTGATCCAGAAACAGGTAATAATTAGTACCTTCCAAGTGATTTTGTCTAGATCTTAAATTCTCCAGAGCAAATCTAATCTTAAAAATAAACCAGCTGCAGTTTTGGTCAGGTCTGTATCTTCCCAGTAATCCATGAACACACAATTAGTTAAGACTATTACTAAAGAAAGTGTGTACTGTAAATATATTTGATGCTTGAAAACAAATTAGGGAGAATCCTGAATGTATGTGCTGAGTTAGAAACACGATTTGCGGTGCAGAAGTATTACCTTATTACCCTCAGAAATTAATAATGTTTGCGAAACAAATACATGTGGTCAAATATTCTGGTGGAAATAAATAACATTCTGTTTCTTTGGGTGCTATATCCTTATGAATGGTTAATTAAACCTTTTACTTCATAACCTAGAAATTTTTAAGTTCATATTTTCACGAGCTAGGTTCTGGATAATGCAGAAATGGTACTGATACAGCTTGTGCAGACGCTACTTCTGCTGAAGAGCACCAGGCACAAAGCAGCCCTGATTTCAGTCACACATCTGCCATGGACACCTACAGGCTACACTCATGGGATGCCCTCAATTCAGAGGAGCAACAAAGGTTAAATCTATTTTTCTAACTGTTCCCTGAGAAAAATCCTATTAATTTACATTTCTCACATATAGCATTATAAATAGCAGTTCATTTAGATAGATGGAGATTATTTAACTTGTTCTTCCTGCCCCTCTTCCAAATGGAAAGTGCTATCTCCAAAACATCTGCATGAAGAGCAATTTGGGATTGTTTATCCATAAAAATGCAAAACAGAATGAGTGTATATTCAATATTATTTTACAAATTACAAATATAAACCACTAGAATTACTATTTGCAAAGCACACCTAAGTCCAATATTTAAATAAAAAGCTTGTAAATAGGGTACCATATCTGTGACACATACTATTTCCCAACAGTAGCTAAACTTAAATAAAGAAGATACCATACACATACATATATGTATATAAGAAAACGTGCACACATTCAGCAAGAAGTTAAAGCTGTACTTTCTGTAAATCCACTCTTTTCAATATATCCTCAAAATGTTTTTATATGGCTTGCAGAACCTACTTGGGTTTTTGTCTTGGTCCATGCCTTGTTCATGTGCCTCCTGCCATTCCCAACATGTTTCACAGTAAGCACGGATCTGCTCCAAGAGATGAAGCACACGGATTTCCCGTCTGCCTCGCTTATCATCGGGCTGGGAGTGAATGATGTTGTGCAGCGCTGCGCTGGCTCTGGCACGGGCCTCTTTACTACCACGGGAGTTTCCTAACAACACAGAGTCCTTATCGTTGCCATGTAAAAGCTGGATGAGGAGAGGAAGACATCCAGACTGACGCATGGCTATGCAGCTGTCCTGGGAGCTAGACATTGCTAGCAATGTTCTTGACATGTCATCTTTATCATGAGTACCAAGCATTGATAACAATGAATACACCATTTCCACCTGCAGGTCAAATGATTTTAAAAATACAGTTATGTTTTAAAAACACACATCAAATTGAAACAAAATTTGAATAGTACATATGAGCAAAAAAACCCCTTATTTAATGGTGAAAAAATTGTGCTATTTAAATGTAATTATACACTATTACTACTTCAGCATTCATAATCTTAATAAATTCCACTTAGTGGTTAAATGGCTGGAAGTGGGGGTAGCTGTGTGTAACTGTATTAATCTACAAAACCAATAGCAAAGACTTCCAGATTTCCTTAATACTAAAAGATTATACAAAGGTGTAATGAAAGTGTTTCATTTTGGGAAACCAAAATACCTTCAAAATTAATTCTTTCATTGAAAAGGTATGCTCTGGGTGAATTCATTATACTTTATTTATAGTTTACATCATACTGAAAAAAACCTTACATCCATGTATTTTAAAGTTTTCCTTTAAAATACCTCAAATTAACTGATGATTTTTTACTAGGATCACTGACTTTTTATACGGACCAGATTATTTTGAGAAAATGCAAAACTAAAGAGTTAATACTTTTTCAAGTTTACAGGGATAAAAGCAGTAAAGCAAACAAATGCTTATTTAGTATGTATAAAACAGTGAGCATTTGTAACTAATTAACTCACACCATGCAAACCCAGCATTACCCATTTAATTTGGAGTAACCCACTTTTCAAAATTAAAAATAGTGATTTTTGAGTGATTCCCTTGGCTTTTGTGTAATATTGTGGTCAAGGCACTATTTGTTTGTACTCTCACTCTTCAGTAACAGCTTTTAATCAAGAAATGCATTTGATTCTTCTCGTCAACTTTTAGCAGAATAACAGGATGTAGAGGATGATCTTAGATACTATCTAAAAACTCCAAACTCATAAAGTCAAGATAAACAGGAACATTCAAAGTCAAAGCACAACATAAAGAAACTATCAAAGGGAATTATAAAGTAGCAGCATGTGTGTTTCTCTAGAATGTAGTAATTAAAGAAGAAATGAGACTTTGGACCGTTAGACAAATTTTCTTACTAAGAATTAGATATTTGCACTGATGAATGATTTTATTTGGTGTCTTCAGTGATAATTCCAATGTGCCTGAAGTTTAATACACATACCAAGTTTCAAAAATAATGAACAGCAGCAGGCAGACTAAACAGCAAGTCTGGTAACATGGACTTCTCTAAACAATGCAGGGTTGCTGAAGCAATACAAATCTTAGTTTGTGAAACTGAATGGTCACATGGGAAAACCCATTGAAATAGGAGCCACTTCTATGACAGTCTAGCATCCCAGTTTGGAGATCCTGTCTTCCTGGTCTGGGAAACCCCAAATGCAGCATTTAAACAAAGCCTTTGTTTAAAGGAGAGTGAATTTAATTTGCTTTATGTGTATCTCTTTGCAGATGTTTCAACTGGCAGCTATAATACAGTGTTACTTGGATTTGGAAGGTTAAGTTTCAGCCAGAGAATAAAGCTGAAGAAGCCACCAAATCAGGCTTCCAAGTTGCAGCTCATGTATTATAGGAAAAACAAACAAAAAAAATCTATTTGTTTCTTTTCTTTACACAGACTGCTCACAGACTCATCTCTTTTTGCACCTGTAAATGTACTGCTCCATTTAGAATCTCTACCATTTTCCCTTTTAAAAATATTTATATTAATAATTTCCTACTCCAGAGTACACTCAGTTAAACCTTCGTCTTTGCCTGTATCCTTCCACTCACTCCTGTTCCTGCCTTCAGGGCTTTCGCACTGTTTGTAACTTTGTGGAGATCTACAGTTTGCAGTGAAAACTGGCAGACAGACAGCTGATATTTACATTTACATTTACAATGTGCATAAAGTGTGGGACTGAAATTACAACACTGTAACACTGTTTTAAGTTTTAAGCCCCAAAATCATTAACACTACGCAAAGTTAATAGGTCCACCTTCCCACCGGACTATTGTGAGCACAGCACTGACAGTATCCACACTGCTGCTGATTCCAGACGCAGTATGAGATCCAGTGGCTTGTGAATTTGCCCTGTTCTTCCCCTCTCTTTTCATGCTGCATATGTATTTTTTAGTGCAGTCTTCTATCTGCAGATGCTACAAAGGGCTTAAATAAATTTTTTTTGTATGTTTAATTTCTTGGCAACTGTGCTTGTTTTGTGGATTTGGATTCTGCAAAAGTATTTGAAGAAGCGCTCTTAAAAAGGTTAATTTTCATAATGGATTATAAAGCTACATCACAAGGTTTTTTGATATCCCAGTAGCTTCTAGGAATTGCTTGTTCCTTACTGTAACAACTTTTAACTCAACAAGTTACAAAAAAAAAGATTTCTGTGCATATATTTTCAAAGTTGAAAAAATATATTAAAATTTTAACTTAATAAAAGTTACTATGTATGGACATGACTGTTCAGATAATATTAGTACTACTGGCAGAAACAATGAGGTTATTGTATTAGTAAAAATGTAGCATTAGAGACCTGTGGTTTGTAATCTTCGGTTACCTTGGTACCCAGATGACTTGTCAGTCTGCGAGGAACAGAATAGTTACTACTAGAGTTCATAACACTGGCTGTCTCATGGTCCACTCGAGCAGCAGAAGCCTACAGATTTAAACAACAACTCATAAAACAAAGTCTGAGGGACAGAACAACATTGGCTAAGCCAGTTTCAGCACCGGATGATGCAGTTGTGCCGACAGCAATTAACTGCTAACCTGGTTCTCTTAGGTTCTCTCTGCCCTGACACAACAGAGGTCACTGTTAAACCTGGTTTTATTAACCCTTTTTCCTGAGATTCAGTCTCAATAGAACTGTATTTTCAACTGAAGAGATTTAATTACTATTTTCACCAAGAAGAACAGGATTTTGGAACAAACTGAATCATAATTTCAACAGAGTGAAAAAAACAGACTCCACTTTGATGTCAGATTTTGTAGTGCACTGGAGATCCAAGACATCCAAGAACCCACCAGTAACAAGGGACTGATCCGGGCAATGAATAACTCTACTTGAATTTGTCTATTTCAAAAGCAAATGATAAGTGGTTTAGTGAAAACTATAATAATGCTGACAATACTTTATGTAATTTTCCTAGAACCTAGGTATGCTCCTACGTTTATTAGCAAGACTCAATTATTAGCATCTTTGTCTTATTTTAATTAATTTTATGTATTTACATTTTTGCTTTTTCTGCCATTTTTTATCCACTCATATTCTTACTTTTTTATTTGCTGTTGTTTTTTATCTGTGATGTTTTCCTTACTATATCACTCCCTTCCTATCTGATTTGGGAAATTAAAAAATATATTTGTTTAGAGAACACTTTTAGTATCGATAACTATTTTCCTGAGGTAATCACCAGTTTTAGTTTGATCCTCTAAAAAACCTAAAATCAGTTAATAGAATTATTAGCCTATTTTGCAAAACATTTTCAAACTGAAATAAATGAATATTTTTTTCCCTAGTAAAATGGGTAACAAACTGAAGAAAATTCCACGGAAGACACTTTGAAATGTCTATTTCTTCTATAGAAACTCCATAAAGAAACAGGAATTTTGCAGTTCATACAGTTCAACATCTTAAACATGAAGTTAAAGAGACTTACAATTACAAGGTAGGAGTAACTTAATGAAGTGTTTGTATAGACAGAAAAGAATCTAGTTATACTGGAATATTTAAACACATAAACATTATTATACTCATTTCACTCCTACATTCGAATCCAGAAAATGTGATATATGTTCCAGAAGAAGTATTTTTTGCTACAAGAATATTACTGGAATTATTTATATTAACAGCATTTATTCCAATCTATATTTTCAATGTAAACAAAGCCTTATTTTCTCTGTTGACTACAGGGAAAAAAATCAGAATCTAAAAGCTAAGGAAGAAAATCATACTACATTTTCTCCATAATTCACTTAAATAATGTTCAATGCTATAGTGACATATATGGGAAGTATTCCCATATACTTCACTATAGTATGGTGACGTATATGGGAATGAATTCCCAGATTTTTACACCCTGCAGTCCCTTCATATTTCCTCAAACTCCATTCAGAGGATTACAGGTTCAACATGATGTACGAACCAAAATTATCCATTATTAAGCTCAGCGTGATTGTTTCATCCAAAAAAGTAAAAAATTACATAAGTCTGCGGCACTATGTATTAAAATTCACCATGGTGTAGACGGAAATAGCAACCTCAGTTCAGGTAACCAATTCCCTCAGGGCCATCACATGGCACTGCTGCCTGCTGTCAGGATGCTCAGCTGAAGTGTAACTACATTTCTCACTGGCTTGTAAAAACTAATGCCAAGGAACTAATGTCAGGTGAGCAGATATTCATTCAAGAAAATGACAAATATTACGTTGACTCTTCCTGTGTAGGATCTTCTCCTTCAAAATCTTTTCCTGTCTACTTCATCTTGTTTCTGGCTTCTATACTTCACTATCTTTCACTCATTGTTTTACCTACTATTTACCATGCCAGCTGAGTAATTTTCCTTGTTGTGTGACATATTTTCTAAACAAGATGGACAATCTCAACAAATTCCTTTATAGAACTTGCAAAATGAAGCTATAAACAAAATTGTACTTCAGTGGGAGAGTAGTGAGTGCAATGAAAAAGAAAAGACAGCTGAAAGATGATGCTGAAAAGCACACACTTGAAAAGTGAAAAATTCTGGTTTCAATTAACACTGACTACAAAACAAATTAGAACAAAATAATTCGGTGAAAACTTTTTCTTTTTTTCACTCCACTGAATGGTGATTGCTCTAAGTATATTGAGTTAGTTTATCAGAAATAAATGTTATGTCCAATCCATTAAACCTTCGCTGTCTGGACTTGCACTGAAAGCAAATAATCCCCAGATGGCTGTCTTAACACAGATACAGTGCCCTGGCTCTATCCCCCACCAGGACGAAGGAATAGCCATGTTTTATACATTTTTACAAGGCAAAGGTCAAAATTGTACAAATCCTCAACATTAAGGCCTCAATTGAATTATGAATGGATCTTCCACTTGCATAAGTCTGGCAAGACATGACAGTCCATTCTTCCTTCCTTCTCTGTAAAATACATTGTCCAGAAAAAACTTCTAATTCATTCTCTGAAGATGGATGACAGAGCAACAATGCATCAATTATTTAAATACATTATGCTTTCAGCCCAAAAGCAGCAGTGAACTATTTTCTTCCCAAACAATAAAGCTGTCATAAGAATTAAGAGTCAGAACCACAATAAGATATGGAAGATAGAACTTAATTCCAAATGGTGATCAAATGTATTTCAAAAGCAAAATTATGGGCTGTGTTTAATGTTTAATCAAATGTAATATTCCAGCCAAACCACAATTCTTTCTGATAAATCTTCTACAAGACACTTTTCGAAATATTTAAATAATTTTACTTCCCTGGAGTAACAAAAATATCCTGTATATGAATTCAGCTATTAAAAAGTAGTGTGAAGTTTTAAAAACCTAAATTCCTAATGTCTAAGCTACAGTTGGAAATCATGAAAGAAAATAATAATGGTAAATAAATAAAAGTATTTTTAGCTAAAGAGAGTAGTAATAAATATTGATTTTAAAGGACAAGTAAAGAATTTAATGTATACCTCAAAATATTCCACTAATGTATTTCAGTAATAAAAGGAGGAACAGCAATGGAAGATTATTTAGAAGCATTTAAATAACCTTCAGCCAACTTTCAGGAGATTACCTCATTGATATTTAAGTTTCAAAGCATTAGATAATACAGTATTAAAGAAACATGAATAATAAACCTATCATTTGTTTTTCTTCTTTTTTTAAAAATTACTAATATCTTAGTGATAGTTTCTAAAATAAACAATTTGAGCAATTTTCCATAATTTACTAATACTTCTTATATTACAGTTCACCTACAATGAAATACATTTCCTGTAATCATTCTTGCTATCTCTTTCACAGCATTAGGCTCATTAATCATTTAAACAAAAGAAAAATTCTCCCTGCATTACTGAATATTTATAATTCCCTTTATTCAAACACTTCCTTACAGTAAATACAAGAAATTTCCCAGATATAGATGGAAAGAAGAAAAACACACATTTTTTAAAATGAGTAGGCATGCAAACACAGTAAGTTAAATAATTACATGTAAGCATCATATGTCTCAAATATTAATTGTATTAAAACAAGGAAAATACTCTACTTACCTGACCAGTACTGCTGGTTGCCACACTGATTTCTGCTGCTCCTTGACCTTCATTCTGCCTCTCTGTATCATGGGAACCTGCCTCATGCTTGCTTTGAGGAGCTCTCTGTTAATACAAGAGTTTATGAAATTACAAACAGAAATTAGGTACAATTTATCATTCAAAGCTTTCTCGGCTGTGAGCACATCAATACTGCATCCTCAGGAAGCCACTGAGCAGCACTTTGCATTTCATAACCCTGAGCCTCAAAAATTAACAGCCGAGACTGAGCGCCTTCAAAAAACTGCAAGATGAAAGAGAAGCATTTCCTCTGAGGATTACAGCCCTGCAAGACAAAGGATCCGCTGTGACACACAGCAGCACCATTTTCCACCAGCTGTGCTCACATCCCTATCAGAAATGTAACAGAATTGGAGCAAACAACTGTCTGCTCTTCTGGGCACGTGATCCCTTGCTTTTACTGGGGACCATGGCCAGCACTGTTCAATTAAGCTTCATGTTCAAAGATGAATAATTTCTGCTTGAACAGAAGGGTATCTCTACTATAAGAATATTTCTAAATGTCAAGGACAAACAATTCAGGAATTACCACTTTGACAGAAAAGAAATTTATATAGCCTGATACTGATCCATCTAAAATTTTGTCAAAATAAATTTAACTGATGTGGCAAGTTGGTGCAGACAGGTTTCAGTTCCTTTAGGAAAACAGACTTTTATACATCTACATAAAAATTAAATTGGTCTCCCTGCTGCTGATAGGCATTTAAATGAGCATTTATGAAATATGTTAGAAGATCAAATGTTACCTATTAACATGTTTAAAACATTTCAGAAATACATGAATAATCCATGGAAATGGCTGAAGTCTGGGGTTGAAAGCAATATTATTTTCTAAGTATTGCTTTTGTTGCCAAGCTTCATTTCACAGACTGAGAGGCTACCACCTAACAGACAACACAATCTTAATGAATTTGTTTAGCACATATGGTATATGTCATCCAGTTTCTATGTGGCTCTGCAATGTTCTTGAGCTGCAGAGCCTAGGATAGTGCAGTCTGCCTCATCTTGCTTTAAGGTATTTATCTCTGACTTTTAACAATACCTCTCTTCAATCTACACACTCTAAAACATCTTTGGATACTCTCAGTGATTAAATTCATACAGTATCACTGGCATAAACAACTCTGTTTTGTTCATGTAAGACAGAAGAGACTCACTTAACATTAAACAGAATTTCTGAAACCAGTAATCAGCATGTAAAGTGATTAATTTAGGGAAAAATTTGAAAGTGTAAATATAGTTTAACTAAATGAATAAGGTATGTAAAAAATGCAGGATATTACACAAACTAATAATATGAGAAAATTGGAAACAACTATAGGTTAAAAATTCCTTGTTATTATACCTTCACTTATGGAAAATAAGTAAGCTACAAAGCAAATCTCAAAGTATTTTAGCACACACGGTGTTACTTCTTTCTAAAATCTGATCTAATTTTTCACCCTCTCTGTGTATGAAATGAAACTGCTGTTGATGCTCATACCATAACTGAAGAAATTTTGGTTCTCAGTACAAGAGTGGGGCACCCAGTCAAGATCAGGCCTTCTGTACATGAGATGAATTCAGTGTAATGCTGAATTCCTGGCTCACAACACACCTTCAGTATTGAATAAAGTGTAATTATGAGTTGGACAAAATCAAGACAGATTTTCCAGTCGCTAAATGTCTGCAAAGCTCAAAGAAAGCAGTACTGGACATGCCTAGAGATGAAAATCTGAATGGTTCATTAGCAGGGCTGTGACTCACTGGGTCACCTGAGAGGGAATAATACTCCTCTTTCAAGAACACTCCTAGGGGTTGGGACAGGGTGGTGAAAATGGGGTGTATCTATTAAATAGTTCTGCTGCATCCATAGAACAGACACAGAGATATTTCATTCCCTGACAAGAAATGTTTCTGCTCCACTTTAACACTTTCTGCTTCTGTTAACATATATTTGTTTCTACAAGCTATTTATGAATGAGATACTTTCCCATTCCCCCTAGGCACTCTCAAGAATATGCCAATACAAAATGTAGTCAACACACAAATTAATTTGCAAGGCAGTTTTTAACAGTTACTAGCAGGGTTATCTGATTTGAAATGCAGAACATGCTCACAACGTGTAAACCATTACTGTCACATGAGTTATCAGCTGGGCTTGAACATTAAATCTGCAGTTCACAGTGAAGACTCCCTACCACTTCAGCCACTGAAGTAATTTGAAGTGAGCTGTCCTCTTCATGCAGACTGGCACAAAGGAGTTAATAACAACACAGGCAGCAGAAATCAGGTTATTAATTGAAAATTGGGTATTTATATAAATATGTATTATATTATTATAATGTATAACATAATTAAACATATTTATTTACTATATATGAAAATAGTACATATCCATGCACATGGATAATGTAAATATATTTTTGTACAGATACAGCATTACTGTAAATAAATTAATATTCATCAGACGGACTGCACATTAATGGCCAGAGAGGCAATATAACTGCTGAAAATATATCCCTCCTTCATGGTGCCTTTTAACACTGAACACAGGACCTGTGGAAGAAAATACAGAAGCCACCAACTACATCAGCAAAGAACCAGAGCATGTGAACAGCAGCAGGCTCTGTAATCCCTACGTGAGGCACAGCTGCCAGAGAATGGCAGCCAGGTCCCCTGGGTTAACCTGTTTCGAAGCATGACTTTTGAGGAGGCCTAAGCTGGCTTTGTAACCTCTGCCATTGCTGCATTTTGGCATCAGACCATGAAAGTCAGCTTGACAGAGTTCACTTGTTTCTCTTGCAGCAAAATTGTGGGAGACTGCATGTGCTGATTACAGGGACATGGAGCTACTCCTTCCATTGCATTTGCCACAAAGTGCTTCTGAAGTCAGCAAATTATCATTATCAGTTATTAATTTCCATGTATTTATTAGTACAAAATTATAAACTCTAGCTAGCATAGCAAACCTTGACTATTTCTGCTAAGAAAGCCAATTACAAATAATTTAACCTAATGCTTTGTCAACCTGAGATGCCAAAGCAGACACTTACATATTCATTAGGAATTGCCATTACTCCATGTTAAACACAATAGATATACATGTATAAGTAAGACATATATAAGAAAATGGAAAATGCAACAAATGAAACTAAGAAATATAAGAAATAATTTTGCTATAGTTGATTTGAAGATAAAAGAAAGTGAGAAAAATGACTGAGAATGCTCCTGTCCATTACAGTTTAAAACCTGTTGAGAATAAGCTCAGGAAGAAAAAAATCCTTTATATCTCATCTATGGCAACACTGCTTAATGGAACTATTTTCAAGTTACAGATATTATGAAAGAAAGGCTTGTACCACTACTGCCAAAAATTTCCTTTTTCCTTTGAAATAATTTCATATTGTACCCAAGAGCTGAAAAATCTTTCTGGGCAGGTCTAACCCTACAGTGGATGAAGACACCACCACTTGCAGATATATGACTTCAATTTTTTTCTAGAATCATTCATGACACTTAGCAATTTGCCAACCCTTAAAAATGTGATAAAATGTGTGCAAGACTTTTCTCTGCTCATTGATTTCCAAAAGCTGCAGCATTATATTTAGTCTTACTCTTCAAGATATATTGCACTTGGGTTCCACAGTGACTGACATCACCACAGGGCCTACTGTATCAGCAGACAAGCTGTGATATTTATTATTGTTGTTACCAGATCTTAATAACAGAAGGAGCACACTCAATTTGGTTAATGGCACTGAAAACCAGGAATAAACTCTCCAACCAATTTACCAGGTCAGAAAGCCAATACCAGTTTATTACCAGTGCTGAATGCATAGGGAATAATCCTTGAAGCATGCTCAGTAACAGACTAACAGACCAGGGTATATTCCTGAAACAAATACATATTAATTATATTTCCCTAATACATGCACATATGCTAATTCTTTCCATGGACTAATATGGATATGGCTCAGACCTTCTGATGTATCTATTCTCCTTGAGAGTATCTCAAAAATACGATCCTGCCATAATGTACTTCTCTAATCATTTTCTGCTGTCACACACAATCCTTGTCCTCAAAACTAATGTATCAGCTAGTACATAATAATTACTGATATAAGTAAATAAGGAAGCATAAGTTGGAACACAACTTATTAGTGACAGATGTAGGGAGTTAGCACAAGGCTGTGCTAATTGCTGGCATTTGTACTAAGCACTGTATGGTACAAAACTGAGCATTAATCACAAATACAGGGATCAAACACTACTGTGCAAAGGTTAAAAGAATTTTCCAGCATTTTCCCACTACTGCATAGACTTCTTCTTAAAGAAACACACTTGTTCAGTAACAGTATCAGGCACAGGATAAAAATATAAAAAATGTCTCATGTTTGTATTTTTCAGCTATGTGGACATTGCAGTGTGACTGCACCACCAGACAATTTCAGAATTAGATATAGCTGTTCTCTGTAGGAGATGGTCATCACTCGGAAATTACTAAAACACACTGTAAAGTATTAGGATGTATCTAGTGACTGTCTCCTTTACCACCATCAGCATGCTGGCCTGTCCTAAGACATATAACTATGCAACCAGATATCCAAACATTTCCCAGATAAGACACATCATGTGAAAATTTCAATATATCAGACCTTTAGTGTATGAGGCAGCCAAATAATTTGGTGGAAGGAGTGAAAAACTATGACGAAACCTTTTTTCTATAGTTGCATCTCAATGCTGAGTATCTGAGCTCAAGTTCAAAATACTGTCTTTTTTTTCCTACCAGAATAAAAGATAAATACTCTGCCTGACTATATGGGGCAAAAGTATCTATTGGGAGGCTGGTCAACCAGGCAGTGAGAGCATTACACCAGAAATAACCAGGACAGAAGGTAGGGCTGGCAAGCAGGAGCCCTGGCTGGTGGGAACACAAGGACAATGCACGCAGCTGAGATAAGAGAACCTCCTTGTGCACAGGCACACAAGGAAGAACAATGTGCAGCAGAGCTGCCTTGCTGGGAAAGCTCCCAAGCCTGTGCTGGGCAATGGGCATGGCCGGGTACTGCTATCTGGCACGTCCCTGCACTGCTGCCCAGGGAGCAAGCAGGAGGTGAAGGACAGGTGGACTAGAAAACTGCTGGAATATCTGGCAATCATGGGGGTGCTATCAGTAGCACAAAGTACAGCTGGAAGCAAACCGAGTCCAATACTGTCCAGTATCTGCATGCTGGTACACAGTGCACCCTCCCCAAGTTGGAGAAGCTGATACAGCACAGGGTTCAGCTGCCTTCCAAAGTGTCCTGGATGGGTGGGTGGAATGGGCTGAAGGGAAGCACAACCTGTTCAAGAAGGGGAATACAACGTCCTGCATCTGTGATGGAACAACCCCAGGCACCAGCACAGGCTGGTGCTGTCCAGCTGGGAAGCACCTGGAGGTCCTGCTAAGCCATCCTTCCAAAGGCCTTGCGGCAAAAATTCCAACAGTGTCCTCTGCTGCAGTGAGGGGCAGCATATTGCCAGCAATGCCAGGGAGGTGGCCCTTCCTCTCCACTCAGCATCCAAAGCCCTGTTCAGGCCTGCCCAGCACAATAAAGCTGGATTTATGATTGATTCACTGAAACAAGTCCTCTGCAGGCCACAGCAGTCCTTAAGGGTCCTGAGCATCTCACACACAGACAGGCTGAGAGAACTGAGACTGTTCAGCTGGATAAAGAGAAGGCTCAAGGAGATCTTGTCAATATCTATAAACACCTGGACTGACTTATATCAATAGCCCAGGCAACTTTAATTTCACACACTACGGTCTGCATCACTTATAGAATTTATTTCCCCCCCCAAATCCTGGAACTATGAAACAAGTGGAAAATTTCCATTTACAAAATGGAAAAATATACATCCTTTAGTGATCCAAATGATGCTCTGAGTTTTTCTGTAGTTATTTTGGGTGAAGGCAAGTCATAAAATATTAATGTAAAACACACAATTTGATTTACCAGTAGAAGAAATGGAGCTGACAATCTAAGTGAATTTCCACAAGAGCATTTTTTGGTAATGGCAATTACTGCTATGGACTTTGCAATTTACAGGAAATATCCTGCATTTCTTAATATAGAACTCTGTACTTAAACACTAAAATATACCAGGCTTCTATAATGAAGTCTGACAATTAATTCTTTTTTTACATCTTATCTCTTTCAAAAGAAAGCAAACCATGAAGATGCTTATCAGAGGTTCATAATTACAAAGGCATGTACTACTGATTGTTTTAATTATTTCTAAAACAAGGACTAAATGTGCTTTCATAAGCACATGGCACGTTGACACTTTTAGTGAAATTTCAAGTTAAACTTTTAACTTACATATGATTATTCACAGAAGCTCCACAGTAGCATGAGGACTAATCCAAGTGTTCCATCCTCAGTTCATTAGAAACTGAGAGCAAGTAACAGTCTAAGAATATTGACTACCTGATTAATTGTGACATCAACAGCTGATGGGAATAATCCTGCCTACCACTTTGTTAAAATATTTTGGGTTTTTTAGAGAAAATATACATGCCACAATAAAAAAAAAAGGCAAGTTATTGCTCACTAACCTCTGCTTCAGCTGCTTGTGATTGCAGGAGCTGTCGTATACGAAGAATGTCCTTCTCGATTTGTTGAATTCTGGCCACCCTTGCCTGAAATGAATGGATTTTCACATTTGATTTTGCTCAAAAACTCTTTTTACTTATTGTACCAAGTGACAGCATGAAGAGTTCTTGGAAAATACTACTGACTACAAAACAAACCTACTTCAGTAGGTACAAGCAGAGGTACTACATGCAGTAATTCAAGTGTTCTTTGTAATGAAAGGAATGATTGCAAGCATTCAAAACAGAAGGGAGTAGCTGGGGTTTTAATAACATTGAATACTCATTTGGATGTAATAGGTTGTCACACAGCACACATTTAGGTATTTAAAAATGCTTCCCTTACCTTGCACAATATTCCTGCTTCTGAAACGGACATTTTGTGCAGATCTTTAGCAAATGACTTCACTTTCATCTCAAATATCAGAATTTTACTTGCATTATAGTGATCTGAGAGACATTTTTATTTGCAGACTGTCTTAGAAGGTATGAGACCCTGACAGATTTCTATTACATTCAGTTGTTATACTAATTAGAGAATTTTGCTTCTGCTCAACCTCGGAGATTTTCCATTCCTACAAATCTTAAAAGAATTTAACAGGCTAAGTATATATATATACATATATATATATTAAAAAAAAAAAATCTATGTTTTGCTTCTTTGGTTTATCTGGGATTTTACAGACATCTCTGAATCAGTCTTTTACAGGCATATTGCTACTCATTTCCCACTGCCATCATTCTGCGGCTAGAAAAGGGAATGTTAAGAGACTCCAAATGTAACAGGATACACATACTCCACACAAATTGTAGTGAAGCACAGGATGCATTATCAGTCTGTAAAACAGTCAGTATATAACCTTGATAATTTAATAAATTCACATTATTTGACTTTAAATGTCGGCAGAAGACCAAACTGATTAAACTGGTGCCATGGATAGATCAATAAAATGGATATATTGTTGAAAAAAGTTCTAATGCCTATACTTGATTAACATTTAGAGCGCTGTACTAGAAAAGCAGTCTAGTGGACACTGCACAGATCAGCATTATAACCAACCTTATTTGACAGATTTATAATCTGAAAATGTAAATAAGATGTGTTTTGCTTCTTTGGTTTATCTGGGATTTTACAGACATCTCTGAATCAGTCTTTTACAGGCATATTGCTACTCATTTCCCACTGCCATCATTCTGCGGCTAGAAAAGGGAATGTTAAGAGACTCCAAATGTAACAGGATACACATACTCCACACAAATTGTGGAGTATGCATTTGGAGGATGCATTATCAGTCTGTAAAACAGTCAGTATATAACCTTGATAATTTAATAAATTCACATTATTTGACTTTAAATGTCGGCAGAAGACCAAACTGATTAAACTGGTGCCATGGATAGATCAATAAAATGGATATATTGTTGAAAAAAGTTCTAATGCCTATACTTGATTAACATTTAGAGCGCTGTACTAGAAAAGCAGTCTAGTGGACACTGCACAGATCAGCATTATAACCAACCTTATTTGACAGATTTATAATCTGAAAATGTAAATAAGATGAACTTTCAAAAGGTGCTAATGCCAGAAGATGCACATGCAATAGAAACACAAAGCTATCTAGAAAATTTAGAAACACAAAAGAAAATGTAACCACAAAATATGAATTACTGAAACACACATCAGAAGCAGTTGTGGGGAAAACACCATAAGCATCAACATTTAGTAGAGCTGGAAAGCTGTAACTTTAAGCTATAAATTTGATTTGATTTTGTAAAGCAAAGGACTGGAAAACACATAAAAGCTTCAGCACAGAGGAAAACAGATAATTTATGTCACCCTTAGCTCCTAGTTCAAGAAATTTTTAAGTATCAAAAAGATAATAGAAAAATATTTCTGGGAATATCTATGCACTGGTGACATGATGCACAACTGACAAAATATGTCTCTCATTGTCCTTAAGAATTACTTGAATTTTATAGAATTATAGAGTAGTCAGGGTTGGAAGGGACCTTGGAGGTTCATCTGCTCCAAACTCCCTGCCAAAGGTAGGAACATCTTCAAGTAAATGTGGTTGCTGAAAGCCCTGTCTGACCTTGAACCTCTTCCAGTGTTTCACCACTCCCACCACAGAACATTTCTATCTTGTACCTAATCTGAATCAACTCTCCATTAATTTTAAGCCATTGCCTCATCTCCTATCACTATTGCCTGCTAAAAAGTTTCTTACAGGTCCCCTTTCAAGCTCTCAAAAGACACAGGTCTCCCCAAAATTTCCCATAAATTGAGTTTCTTTCTGTATAACCAGCAATGTAGCCAATAAAGGGCATCAAGAATATCTGAGTATCTTTATATATGCAACTAAACACAGGAAAAAAATGTTGTGCAGATGAAAACAATTAAGTACAGCATGATTTGCCAAGTATTACTAACTGAGTCCTCCAAAGGGACAGGAATTCTATACACCCTTTCCAATTTCAGTCCAGAGATTTAAAGTCCAGATCATTCTTCTAATTAATTTTTTCTAGTACAGGTAAACTGGGGAGTTTGACTAACCAGGACCACACTTTGTACCAAACACCGTAGAACAGAAAAAAGGGATGCATTTCTTGCCACAAAGGGGTGGAGCCTAATGGCAAATGGGCTAAAGAATGGAACAAGCATCAGTGTTTGTAACTTTAGAACCTACTTGAGAAATATCACCTTTGATTTGTGTTTGTTCATACTACATTCCCATTTATTAATATATTTACTTTAATAACATAAAATAGTTGCAGAAAGTAACTTTACATTTGAAGTTATACATTATTTGGCTTTCACTGTCCCAGTAACATGTCTAACAAAACAAAAATAAAATTCCTCCACACTCACAATGACAGAAAAATATTCACTACTTAGAAAGTGAAAACAGGGAATAACATTTTGTTTTTAAAATGTTGTCTGCCTTTTTTGTTTGGTTAGGTTTTTTCCCAAAATAAACATATATAATAGAAAAATGCATTAATGGCTTGGTATATATATATAAGACCACCATATAAATATAACAGTGTTGAAATGTTTATCTGTGTGAAACTCCAGGATCTAAATTTTCTTGTATCTTTAGTGGTCTGCTGTTTTAGCAAACTTTTAGATATCTTGGGATAAATTCTTATAAGAATGGTAATTTAATGTAAGATTTTAAGGAACTCTTAACCTCAAAAAACCTAGATCCTTTTTGCTCTGACTTGAAGGAAAAATAAATTCTATGGGAACATGAATTCAGTCTTAGAATTGAAGTATTTTTAAATATATCTTACAGAAATTAAGTTTGCTTCTACTTACAGCCAAATATATTGGCTACATGCTGACTATTGGTTGCTACAGTAGCAACCTTTGAACAAATAAAAATAGTAAAAATAAAATATCATTAAGAATGCTTTTTTCCAAGTAAGCACTACTGTGTGAAATTACTGGCTTCAGAGAATAGTTACAAGTTTACAAGTTAAAATAAATCATTAAACTAGCTTAAATAAATTGCCAACAGCCTTCTTATCCATCTTTCTGAACAACTGCTGGGCAAGTGCTTGTGAACAATCTTAATAGAAAACATAAACAGTGAGTTGCTGTGGGTTGAGTTGCTTCAGAAGGACACAAAGCCAAATCATGCCACACAAAAAATGGGAGAAGGCCATTGTTTCAAGGCTCATGAGAAAGGGCAGCTACAGAAAAGTGCAATGACTATGTGGGCAACTGCAGGTTACCAGCTCTCTCACAGAATAATCTCTGGGACTCTTAATTCAGAGACGTCTGCAATACCAGCCTTTATGTGGCTGAAATGGTCCCTCCCTTCAGCCTACATTTTGTGTAGTATCGTGTATCCCAATCAGTTTGGGTGGAAAGAAAATATGGAGCAGAAAGAAAATGGTAAAACTACTAAGTTGAATATCCTTGCCAAATACAAATGTTCAATTTACACATTTAAAGATCACAGTGCAATAATTCTTATATATTTGTACATTGGTGAGCTTGTACACATTTTTGGCACAGGTCCTTGGTAGAATGAAACCAAGGGGAATTACCAGTTAAATTCACAAGAAGCGCAGGCAGAAGTAGTTACTTTGTATTCAATAATCTTTATATAATCACAATAGGCACTGTAATTTCTGCAAGTATGTGTTACACACATACAGAGAGTGAGTGAAACTGCTGCGACAGACCCCATGTCAAACATTTATTCAGAAAGCCATAAAATGTTTCACCATTTCAGCATGGCAACATTCTTCCCCCTACCAAATTTAAAACCCCCAACAATCAGGGAAGAAGCGAATTCATGTCAGCTTGATTACTTCTATATAACAATAAAATTACGGCCAAGTTGTGTGTCTGAACAATTTCTTTTGATCCCTGCCTGAGTGCATTTAGAATGCAGCAGCCTAGCCTGTTCAGCTTATTTCTACTTAGCTTAATTCACCTTCCTCTAACTTAAGCCTGTTAACAGCAGCAGAAGCTTCCCAAGAGTTTCACTGTGCAGGACCCTCACTCGGGACAGGCTGACACAAATTGCACAGCTGAATGTGTGGAGGGCACACCCCTGCTGATAAACCTCGGTAACTGCCCTACAGCTCCCAGATCAGAGCCAGCGACTCTCCAGACAGACTGAACCTGGGCCTGCCTCAGAACATCAGCACACACAAAGCCCTGCACACATAACCCGACAGCTGCAGAGTATCTCTTTGGCTAAATACTTTAAACTGTAGGAATTTTCTGAAAAGTCCTACTAGAGTACTCACTTTAAAGTTTAGAGCAACTATTCTGATTACCTCTTGTAATCAGAACAGCTGCTTTAACTTAAATGCAAAACCAAATTAGAAATGTTTCTCATGTAGCAAAATTTTGTGTTGAGTCAACCTAGTGAGGGAGATAGAGCCTAAGAAGACTGTACTGAAAAAACTGATTATCGTTACATTCACCAAAAAACACCCCAAATCTTACTAAGTTGGTTATCTAATAGAGCTAGAAATAAATGGTAATAAATAATTTGAATTGTTGCTTTCCTACTGTGGAGGATTATTTTTTATAACCTGCAAGAATCGGATTATTTAATTTACGATTTGCATATGATTGCATTCTGATTTATACTTCCAAATGGGTGGGCCATGTGGCTAGATATGTACATATCCTCATCATGAATGCAAAACAACTCTTGGTGAGAGCAAACAACTTCCAGATATGTATGTGAATTACATTTTACTTGAACACCTTGTTTGAAAAGATTATCCCCTAATACATCTTTTCTGGCTAAGGAAACTTAAAAACAGTAGCTGGATTTTATTCTAAACTTAGACGCGTGAAGAAACCCACCAAGAAGATGCAAAAAAAAGCAGTTGCAAATACACTGGCTTTTCTGAAGCTAAAATGGTAGTAAATTGTAAGGAAACCATCATAAAAAGAAATTTTCTCTAGAATAAATTTTCTACATCTGCTGCATCAAAAGGATTATTTACAACAGGCAGACGAGGGTACTGTTTGCCAAGCAATTATTTCCTATGTCCTGATTCCTATTTGTAAATTTGAAAGGCTAACTAAGTGCTGTGTTTACACAGAGTTTAAAGATACAATTACCAATAATTTAAGAATTATGCAGGAAAACCTTTTCCCTTGCTTTTAATGGTAAAAGACAAACTCTACCTGTGCTCGCTTCTCCATGTCCTGACAAGTGCCCAGTTGTTCTTCCATTGCAGCTCTGATCTGCCTGGCCTCATACTCCAGCTGCCTTCTGGTCATATCTGTTTGCAAGGAGAACTGAAAGAAGAGTACAGGGAAGGCATTTTAGCAAATAACATTTATGTAAACAATGTATTTCTCAGAATAAAAAGCAGAACTATTACTTTTCTACAACAAATTTCATAAACAAACAAAACATTCTTAAACAATACATTCTTAAAACATGACTGCATTATGAAAAACAAGTACACAATGACGTTCAACCAGCAGACTATACCTCAGTTTTGTCAAATGACTAAATATAATAAACAAGCACTGAGAAAGTATAATTCCTTACAGGAATATCTGGCTGCTACCAACAAAACTGTGATGTGTGCCATCTGAATTGGCATTTTCAAAAATATTCAGATGTATTAACATAGTGATGGGTATTCATACTGCCGCTATTTACCTTATTTCTAACTACCCTGTGAAAAGAACACAAGTGTTAAACCCAAGTGCAGCAATACAGCCTAAGGGAAGACTTTTGAACCGAAAGAAGTTTTGAGGCAGGAGCAAAGCTCTTCACTGGCTTTCGACAATTACTCAGTCTGTAAATAAATGAGTCTCCAAGAGCAGTCTTTCCAGAAGACTTCACCAAGGTCAATTCAGAAAATCAAAACAAGACAATCATCTGCAAGGACCAAATGGGACCTGTCATTTTGCTGCATCTGGCCTAAGCAGTAATGGATATAAATTGCTAAAAAAGACCTTTAGTGCAGATGTGAAGTAAAGCATTCTAATCCTAAAGGTAGCTAAGTGAATTCGTTATCTATGGAACAGAGTAGGCAACTTTAAAACCTATGACAGTGACACAGATACAGCTGACAGTGCTTTGAGAATGAGTTGCAGTTCCTTAAAATCTTTCTCAGGCCTTCTCCCTTGGTTATGGTAGTCTGCTAAGCTCAGCCATGACTCAGTGTTACTTCTACCCACTGAAGAAGTGCTTCTGCTGTCTGTTTCCATTTCAAGAAGGTTGACTGATCCTTCATCAGGTGTGACTCTCTCAACCACACCTTCCCAACTCTCTATGTGAAGAATGGACTGCAGATACATCCATGTTGCTGACATCTAACAGGAAATCCTGCATTATGTGGGATATCAGACATGTTTATTATCCCAGATAATGGTGACTTGACTATAAATAGCTTGGAGGTGGCAAGGTAAAAGTTACAGCAAACACCTTCATAGGCTATAGAATCACTTTACTGATTGTTATGAAATAACAGCTCATGTGTACCTTGTCATGTGCTAACAGTATGCTCAAAACTAGAAAAATCCACCAAACAAAAGAAAAATGGAGAAGAGAGTTAAGGAAAGTGCAATTAATGTGCCATAATGACTTCTCAATGTTCCTCTGTTTTCACTGACATTTATATTGATATGGATGAATTTTGATGTGTAAAATTCTGTACGAAATGCATTATTTAGACTAAGTTATCATTACACACTGAATGAAAAAAAGTTTGGAACTAAAGTGATAGTAGAGAATGCCACCAAATTAATAAAATACAGACAGCATCTAAACAGAGACTAGCCACAGAGACCTCACCAAGCACTCAGAAGGTACTTACATTTTCAGTAAGGGGGAGACTATCAATCCTTTTAGTTAGGTTCTGAAGCTGGGCATAATACCAGTCCTTTTCTTTCTCTTCCTTCTCAAGCTCCGCAAGCAACAGAGATCTATTAAAAGCAGAAGGAGGAAGTTTCTCACCATTAATACCTCATTTCCATCCGGAGGTTTGAAGAAGGCACTAAGGAGACATTTGAGTTCAGTTCCCTGGCCCTGGCTAATCAACCAATCCACTCCTCTGTGCTAAGTACTACAGGTCCTCATCTATGAGAGAGAAAAATATACATATGTCTCTAAAACACCCACTTTGAAATCCAAAGAGACATTTTGTGAAAGCAAAACCAGTTATTAGTGGTGTGTTAGCTTGTACCCTGCTACTTTCAAAAATATATTTTGTATAGTACAAACAGCATTTAAGAAAAGGTCTGCCAAAGAAACATGTACAACCCTCAATCCTGAATTACTGAACTGAGAACCTTCACCTTTGCACTGTGTCCTTTTACTCAGTTTGTCACTCATAGCAAAACTATGGGTAAAGCAGACAAAATAAGCCATTTCTGTGAATGTCTAAAGTATTTTAAACCAGTATTTTCCACCAAATATTATAGACAAGATACCTTTGCAGCTTAAATAGGTATCAAAAGCACACTGCATACCTGAGTAATATTTGGGAAAGACAAAATGAGTAATATATGCAGACTACTGAGGAAAAAATTACTAAAATTTTCACACGCTACTTTATCAATCCTTCATGAACTGAATTTTATATAATTCTAAATCTTATGAATATAATAAAATAATGCTCATGTCTACAATACTCCTCAAAATACATACTAAAATTTTTCAGCAAAATCTGTCTTGTAGGAATAAATAAAAAAGCCATTCATTTTTTTAAAATACAAGTTTATTATTTTCTTTCTAATGCTTTCTGTGAGTACTGTTCTTCTTTCTGATGTTTTAATATCGCTCATTAACAGAAATTACAAAAATCAACACTTAGCCAGAAGACAGAAAGCTCCATACAAGTTTGCCCAGTATTACTTCCCATCCCTTAACTTTTGCATCCCTCTCTGGCTGTGGCAGTTCTGAGCAAGAGCACATGAATCTTTATAAAGGACACAAACACATAATGAATAATTACTGTAAGTCATTAAGGAACAGTTACACACCATACAACAAAAGTACAAATTTCCTCAGACTATTTTGATAATGCATCACAGCCATTATTTGAGAAGATAATCCATCTTCCACACAAAACAAAGAAGAAAGCATTTTAAAATTTGTATTTACAAGAATCTAATTGACTTATTTCCTGCTTTAAAAATATTTCAAGCTGATTTTCCTTATTTAACATTTATTCCATATCCTATTCAAGTGCCTGGCCTGCATGCAAATGGAAAATTAAACGAGAGGATTCCCTCCCCTTCAATGTGAGACTGGAAAACTACATACATCTAAGAGTGCTAAATGTTTGTAAATGTAAACAAAATGAATAAATCTTCAGACTTGATCCAACATTGAAACAGATTTGAGGATGCCAAGGTTTACAATAAAAATGACTGAAAAGAAGTAACAAGCAATTACCATAATTTGGCAGGTAACTGGAAGAGTATCACAGGACAGCAGTAATTCTTCAGTCACAAGGATGTGGCTGGCAGAAATTCCTAAAGTACTTTAGACAGACTGAAGGCAAAACTAATAGACTGTGCTTGGGAAAAGCTTGTTGAGAAAGCTTTTTTTGCCCCCAACCTGCCCATTCTCTTGCCATACAGCCCTAGCATCTAATCTCTGGACAGACTGGAATTCTGCATAGCGTCTCTTTTTACCACCTTGAGTGCCCAGGCACCAGTTGTGTCCAGGCTGTGAAATAAAATTTGCAAAAGCACAATTAATGCAATCCTTATAAAAAAAGTATTTTTACTTTTGAGGACTTGCAAATGTGTAACGACTGACTAATTCTGCCTCTGGATGTCAAAGAACTGGTAGCAGAAACCGGAGGGATTACTTTCAGCTAAGTAAACGTGATTAAGTTCCTCTTATGAAATGTAGGGTATTCAGTATGTGAGACAGTGTGTCATTCAATCTGTTTTGACATGCACAATGGATGCTGGAAGCAAGAAAATAACTTAGGAACCATCAGTGCTGCATAAACAACATAAGGCATGACCCAAGGGCAATTTGTTTAGTTTAATATTGTCATTTTGTCTTGTGAAGTGCTGCTTCATTTGGGATTACTAGTTTGGTATCTCTGCTCTGTGAGAATTCAGGTTTTAACAGTCTTTAAGTTCTCCCAGCACAGAATCTGAAAGGTTGCTAACTACAGCAGGCTGCATCTCAGTTTTCTTGAAAATAAGCAGCAATAAGCAGCAGTTCTCTGTAGATGTGTCTGATAAGCTGTTCCCCACCTTGAAGTTTACTCTCAGATACTATTCCAACCAGAAGCATAACTGCTTCTCAGTCTCCTGGAGCTTCTTGGGGTTAGGGGAGGATTTAAAGTAGAAGAGCTGCTACTGGTCATGAAAAACAAGACGGAAAAAAACAGTGCAGTTATTCCATCTTTTTTATATCCCCAAGATGTTTACATTAGGACTTCCACAGCATCAAAAAAAATTCTGTTCTCTGTCATACCCTGTCAAGTTCACTGAGAATTCAGCAAAGCAAATGGAGAAAGCTTTTGGAACTTGACACTATTTTCACGAGTTAACAAAAAGTTTTCAATTTGTGCTGTTCTGCTGAAGGGTGGGTTTTTCAAAGACTTTTCGTGCGGCACTTGTGAAGCTCCTAACAACAGAGGAAGCTGAATGAGTGCAGAAAACTCTTGACTTGTTTTGCATGTATTTTCTGCATAATTATGTCAATATTATCCCTGGCTAAAAGGGAGAAGGGAAACTATATGCTACTCTACTTGCATTATGTAAATTACAACTGTAATTAATACTTTCACTTCAGTTGGTGGGAGATAAAATAAAATCTTGAAAACATTGCTCGTGCTGTAAAGTTTGACATAAGTTTTATCAGCCAGCCAAAAGGAGAAAGCATAATAGAACAAAGAAGCCACAAGATAGAAAATGCTTCAAATCAACAATAAAGAAATAAAAAAGGAAATGGCATAAGCCAGAAGGAATAAAGAAGGCATACAAACATTTTCATATGAAATATAAATAATATATATAATTTCACAGAAGGCTGCCATCTTAATGGCCAATTACAGAATTTAAAAAGGTGAGATTATTAAATTTGCTAAATTGCCAAGGGCAAACACAAAAATTAGCCTGCAGTGTACTATGAAAAATTTTGCTGTTGATTTAATTCTCTTACCAAGTATACCTGGAAATAGCCAGAGAAAGCAAAAGATATTTCATTATCAGAGTATTCTAAACTGGCAATTTAAAAGCACAGTGCTGCCACTGCCCATTTTTCTCTTTGTTTTTTTAAACTTTACAATTAGAGGAGAGCCAAGCAAATGAGATACGTGCCAATAATTTCATCTTTATTCTGGCAGGCAAATTAATTGATAAATTGTCTTCCTCTCAGTTTACCTTCAGTCAAGTGCAGTGGATTGACCCTGACTGGATGCCAGGTACCCACTGAATTGCTGTAAATATTTAAATACATAATTTAGTTCTCCCACAAACATTGTTGCCAATAAATAACATATATTGTGCCAGTGTGTTAAAATACTGAATGGAAATGGTCTCCTGCTGCATACTTCTGGAAAGTGTTATTGTATTCTGAATTATTTTAGGCTTGTCAAGTTCAACAAATTCTTGAAAGTCTGTTAAAGTGCAAAAAACTAAAATTGATTAGTAAATATATACATTTAGATACACAAAAATTTAGTAAATATGCCAAACAAGTTCATACACAAAACATAGGAAAAGAAGTGTTTATTTTTCTTTTAGAAACAGTAGTGATTTTAGATGCACAGTCCTATACCCCCCCCCCGGAAGTTTTGATTTATTTGGCTACACAGGGCTCTTATCAATGCCCTACACGCTTCCACACATACCCTAAAACAGCTTAAAGAATTATCTGTCATTTCACTAATAATGAAGCCAGATGTGGTCTGGCCATGCTTCCATACATCCATCTTCTCCAAAGCACAAATATTTACCCCACCACCTATGACAGTAACAGTGTCTAAGCTACTCTGAAATTAAAACATCCTCATCCCTTTTCTCCAGTATTATTTGGAACACAGACTGGTTCACTGCCTAAGTTGTCTTCACTGCCAAGAAAAATGTCCTAAAAACTATCACCTCAGAATCCACCAAGACGGGGAAGGACCACAGATCATAAATCAGAGGTGCTAATCACCTTAAAGAACTCTGGCTGTTAGAAATGCTGCTTGTTCCAAGTGAGCAGGAGTTCACTGGAACCACACTGGAAGTTCCAACTGTGTTTAAAAGATTTTAGCATCATCTGTAGTAAAATACAGCACTGGAAGAATATAAACAAATGCACCGTTTGTTAAGACAGTAAAAACCAGACACACTCTCAAAGACTGAGAAGAACAAGCAGACAGTTTCCCAAATTCCTAAATATTCTTATACAGCTCCTCAGGAATCTACATTTTATGCAACAGAATAAGTATAATTAGTGGTGGTCCTAGCTAAGAGAAGGTAAAAAATAGAGTGGCTGCTAGAACAGGCTCAGTATGGACCCACGGCAAGTTACTTTCATTCTGCTGATAGTAGGACCAAAAAAATATAGGGACCTGGATCTTAGAAGAAAAGCATCATCCTTTCAGGTCTTGGCTGCAAAAATTTTGCTGATCTTCAGAGAAAATCCTTTAGAGGAGGGGTTTCTAGAGGGCTATCGACAAAGCACTTGTTATCCACAAAACTTTTCTATTACAACTTCAAATTGGATTTTTTTTTGCTTGTTAATATCTACTAGGCATAAAAATACTGTGTTCCAGTTTATTTGGTTTTGCAGCCCACAGCTTGATATCCCATCCATTAAGTAGGGCTCAATCTTTAGGAAACCCTGCCTTGCAGATGGGCTTCTGAAAACATCTGTTATTTCAGTCACATCCATTTTAAGAAATAAAGATGACTTCAGTGGAAACAGCTGCATGTCTCTTACTTTGCATTTCCTTTGTAAGTGATTGATAAAGTGCTACATTTCTGTATTATAACCTGAAATGTTATAATGGGTAAATGACTTCCTGTAAATGGGTACTGCCTTTTAAGAAAAGAAATTCCAGGATTTTGTCAATACAAAATCCTGGAACAACACCTTGAAGATAAGGACACATATTTAGTTTAGCTGATACATTTTCTGAGAGAGTAGAATCACTAGGTAAATGTCTGCTAATAGTAAATAATTGATAAACCAGTTATGGTACTTAATAACCATTTGCAAAAGAGAGAAAACTATTCCACCATCACATTGTTACAGCTTCAGCATTTATCAGAAGTGGTGAGGAGATACAGAGGTGGTTAGAATGCTCCACCCTCACTGTTTAAATATATTCCAGACACTGACAATCTGATTATGAAAATTAAAAAAACCCCTTCAGCCAACAAAGACTAACAATGAAATGCACATATGAAAAAAAAGTAGAAACTGAATACTTCATGTTTTTAAAAATATTTTTCCACATGTGCATCTAAAGAAAATGTAGATCCCTGGTTTCTTACTGGTCAAGATAAATGACAGGTAAATACATTACTGATCAAAACCATATTCATGATAGCTAAATACTAAGTGTGTCAGTAAACTTCCACATTAAAATTATAAGTCAATCCATACTGGAGGAATAAACAAATAAATTACCTCTCTTTTTCTAGCTCTTCTAAGTAACCAGTGCTTTCTCTGCTTCCATTCATAAAGCCTCTTCTTGGAAATGATCCCATGGGGACTGGACTGCACTCCCCTGAGCGGCTCGACACAGACCCTTCCCGGCTCCCATATGAACGCACAGACATCTTTGGCCTTAGCTTCACCCCAGCGAAGCTGGTGCTTTCCAAATTCAGTTCTGGATAATAAACAGCAAACATTTTTCAGAGCTGAAAGTTCAGTAGCACAAAGTTAAAAGATCATTTATATCTTCATTTCTTACTTCCTGAACAAATCCATGTGTTTTTTTTTTATGGGAGCATTTTGCACAGAAATGTAGCAAAAATACTGTGAGCAAAAACAATGGATATGGTGGACTTGGAGAACAGCAGTTATCTGAGCAGATTGCCAAACTACAATCCTGGCAATCAGAACAGTAGCCTACAAAAGCCTGCCTGCCTCCTTCCCAGAGGACTTAAGAAATGGGCAGAGTTTTGCTTAAACATCATGTGAATTACCTTGTGGCCCACTTCCTAAAAATTTCTTTTCCAGAGATCCTGCAAATGTTTCACCATCATATAACAGATGACTACCGTGTTCATCACAGGAGTCTTAAACATAGACATCCCTATGAAATTTCTGGGTCAGTGGCAGGGATGATGGATGTATAGAGGGAGTTAGTGGTCTGAGCTTGCCGGCACTTCCCATACAATGGGATATACACATTCCAGCACTTGCTATAGGGAAGGGGCCATAAATTTGCAGAATGACAGAAACAATTCCAGTAATATGACATGGAGAAGGCAGGATATGCAAAGAAATTTAGGAAATTGGTGGAACTACACCAACATTAACTTCTTTTTCCTAAAGAAAGAAATGTGAGTTATATCAAACACAGTTCATATGACATTCTAGAGTTACAGTAGCAAAAGTATAAATGGAGACTTTTTTTCCCCCGCAAGATGTGTATTAAAATGTTTAGCAAAAATGTTTAGGGACTGAGACTATGCCTAATCACCAAGGTCAGCACTGAAAGGAAGACAAAAATGACTTTGAAAATTTTATCCCAAACTAGAAACAATAGACAAATAAATGAACCTACTTAAAATGTAATTCTAGATTTACCTTTAAGACGTTCCAGTAAGTCAATTTGTCCAGAAGATGCCATTGCCTCATCTTCAATGCTTCCTTGTAGCTGTTTCAGTACCTCCTATAAGAAATTAAGCTTAATTAAGAAATCCTTACAATAACAACACACAAGGTAAATACATCCTATCCTACCCTAAAGTGCACACTCATGTAACAGCTGCTGAGACACTGATGTAAATGGTATTTCATGTGAGCAAGTGATCAAGTGTCATAATTTTAATTGTGATCAGATATATTCTACAATGTCTACCTCAGCACTGTCATGCATAAACTTATCTGGCAGTTCAATCTATTGGATTATATGGAAGTTCTTCTCAAAGTGAACACCAGTTATTTTGAATTAAGAGATGGAAAAATGTAAGCACAGAGAAATCAGTCAGTCTTGTAAAAACAAATTTTGGATATGTAACTAACAGAAAAGTATCTCAACTAGAAGCAACCCCACGATTTGTTTTCTTTGAGGCCCTAGCAGCACTGTAAACCCACAAGAAGACTCATGTTATTCTTACTACAAATGCTATCATTACCATGCCTGGGAGCAAAAGATTAGGTTTCCTTCATGGCACCTATTATTACTACTTCTATTTCAAACACCATCAGGCCCACCAGAACGAGATGTAGATTGCTTTATGCAGCTGAAGCTTCAAATCCAAGAATACTGCCATGTGCTATTGAAACTGTGTATGCTGAAAATTATATAGCTGAAGGAACATAGTTCTGATGTACAAAAAAACCATAGTAAACAATGACTATTACACTAAAGGGGCCAGTAAGCCCCCAGGTCCTGAATGCTCAGTGGCCTAATTTAATGTAGAAAATTAAATGCAAGTTAGTGAACGTCTTTTCAATATCATCATGACAGACCCATCAATAGCAAGAACAAATAAAAAAGACTGGCTACAAGGCAAAAAGCGCTTACTGGAATTCAAAGTACCATTTTTCATACTGTGCCACAGAAAATATTTTTAGAAGAAGCAAGAGTCAGGAGATGAAATAAATTCTGAATAATGGAATTATTCAGTAATATTCTGTAATTTTCATACACAGACCCTGTACACAGTATTGTATTTTTTTTCCGATCTCAAAACTAATGAATTCTAGACAATTTAAAAATATGTCCATACCAAAGCTTTGCTCTTTTAAGAGTCTGGGTTTTGCAACTTACACAAAAGGTACCTTTTAAATGCATTTTTCTTTTTTTCAAGAGAAAAAAACCCTACGTAACATCTATGAAAAGTCAAGATTTTTTCAAAGCAGTGCAGCGATGAGCTTTTCTGTATCCAAAGTGTTGTTACTTGTAATTAAAAGAAATTAGTAAAATAAAAGGGATTTGAACCAGGGCAAATTTGGGAGATAACCCCCAAAGGGGCTTCTCTACAAAAGCAGACTCAATCGGCCCCTCCCCCCAACCAGTTCGGGAGAAAATATCTCCTTGGAGAAAAGTGGAAAGAAACCTGTTTATTAAACAATAGAACCCAAACAATATTAAATAATAAAACCTCTTGCAGCTCCAAAAGAGATGGCAAACTCAGAACAGTCCCCTCCCCGGGCTGCAGCTCAGCTCACTCAGTCTTTGATCAGTCTCTGGTGCTGGAAGCGCCATGGCCCAGGCCCGGCCAGGGGGCCACAGGTGGGGCTGCCGGTGCTTTTCTGGGTGTCCAGTCCAGAGCAGGCTTGAACAGGTCCAAGAAAAGGAAAAACCACAGTCCAGGGAACTTCTTTGCCTCAGCTAGCTAAAACTAACTAAAAGCAAAGGAGAGCTCTGTCCTGCTGTCTGTCCATCCACAGACAACAGCAACAGCCCAGGAGGAAGAATGTGGAGGAATGAGTGCAGTGTCTGAAAATGCTGCATGCTTCTTCTCTCCCCCCTTTTATCTCAGGAACAAGTCTTAAAGGTGTGTCCTGGCTTGTAAAATAAGCATGTATTCTTTTTTGCCATCTGTTGGGGGTTAGGCAGTTTTTCTTATCTCTTTCAAGAACAATGACACTGCCAGGAAGATAATCTCCTGCTAATGGGCTATTGAATTACTCACTGTGGCTGGTAAGATTAGTTACATCATCCCATTGGGAGATGCTCCACCCAGAGGGAGGAGCCAAGCATCCCTGCCACCATAAAACAAGCATTTCTGAGACCACAGACAGCCTTCTTCGCTGGATTTCCGAGAGGAATCAGGAACCGAGGCCCAGCTGCTCCTTCGCCGCATTTTCGGAAGGGATCTACACCCTTCTGCAGATCGCCGCTCCAGGAGGAGCAGCCACCATTTGGCTGGACTGCTATCAGCACCCTGACTTCTCAGGGTGTCAGGGTTTTTCTCACTCTGCCAGTGGTTTTTTCACTTGTGCTAAATTACATTGTTATTTCATTTTTTTCTTCCTAGTAAAGAACTGTTATTCCCGTTCCCATATCTTTGCCTGAGAGCCCTTTTTAATTCTGAAGTTGTGATAATTTGGAGGGAGGGGGTTTACCTTCTCCATTTCACAGGAGGCTTTTGCCTTCCTTCACAGGCTCCTGTCTTTTCAAACCAAGACAAGGTGTAAACTAATTATTCAGTATAAACAGAACAGACAACTGGGGATAAAAGCATCATATAGTCAACCCAGGACAGTATAGAACTGTGCAGAGTTCTGGGGAAATAATCTCAAGCCCTAGACTCAGACCAAATGGTAGCAGCCCAGGTGCTGCAGCCTTTGCCATGCTGCTCTGGGAAGAATAATTCTGGAGTACAGACACCCAAGTTTCCAGTTTACTGATGCAGTCAAGGTGCTTGTCCATGTTCATGTCTTAGTTTGGACCAGTTTGATGCCAGACTTCCATCCTCCCACACCATCTGTACCTGCATTCCCATCACAGATATCTTGGAGCATGAACCAAATTCCTTTTGGAATAAGCCAGCAGTTACATCCAGGACTGCTAGTGGGCATTCACTCCATGGCACCAGGCTGTAGCTAGTCCAGACAAAATACCCTGCAATATAGATTGAATGTGTGCTGGGTCCTCAACACAATTCACCTACAAAATTGCTCCTACTGCACTGCCTTTAGGATCAAGCCTGGGATTATAAAATCCGTACTCTTGGAGAGATATCTTCCCTGTGCTTTTAAGTATGTTTAAGGGCAACCTCTTCAGCTATATGGCCCAGCCATCTCTATACATAACGTCTGCCCTGTCAGCAAAGGCGGACAAACAACTGATGTGGTGTTTTTCAAAGAAGGAGTCCTGCACTGTGTGATGTAAGAGCGGATCTGCAGACAGCAGTCTTTGCTTAAAGTCTAAAAGGGCAGTATGGGTATGTGAAATGGTCTTGAGAGTATTTTGCACTCTTGTTGGAAACCTGTCAACTCAGATAAATTTAGAAATAATGAATGAATCATTTTTCTCTGAAAACAGCACTGTTTTACAAGGGAGAAGCCTAAAATCCCACATCTCCTTCCATTCCCTTTTTAGAAGCCTCTCTCTCACATGTGTAGCACATCTGCTGTTTCAGCACGTTCAGCATACTTCCCTATGTAATGAGTCTTCCTGCTCTAAGATACAATATGAGAAGCTAAATGGAACTACCATGAGCTTTTCCTGCCCTACCAAATTACATGACTGAGGTGTCCAGGCAACAAGGGACTGCTCTCTTCTAAATACTGGCAACAGTTGAACACTAGCACACTGGGTCACCTTGCTCAAATTTTCTGTTTCAATTCATTACTTAAGTTTTAATTTATAGTTTTTGTATCATCCCCTTTTTCCTCCAACAGTACATGCATTTTTCTCAAGTTAGCTTTTCTGCATTTTTCTACATTTCTTTTCTATAGTGCTATTGCTAAGGCAAAAATGCGACTATGCCATTATGAGGCTGTGATATCAACTTCAAATTCCATCACAGTACACTTCAAAAGCTAAACTGGCCATTCAATAGGCAGTTAAAGGAGACAAAAGTTAGAAAAGGAGAGAAGGAGATGCAGCCCCTGGGACAGGTACTGGTGGAAAATGAGGCTGCGTGTTAAAATGACAAGTCAGGGAATTTGCAATTTTACTTGAACAAGGAACACAGAAGTTGTCTGCAATAATCCTTCTGGAGGAAACATGGCAAGTTACCTGTTACTGTGCTAATGAAAACTTTAATTTATTCACTATTTATAATCTAAGATTCAACACTAATGCTGTTTACATGCATACAGTGCTTTGAAACAGTATTTTTCCATTATAATTTTATACTACATTTGACATCACGTTTGCTAAAGCATAAAATAGTCTCCAAGATTCAATTCGTATCTGTTTAGTTATGCAGATTTCAGTAAGTATTTTAGTAGTGGTTTACAGCATTCTTCTAAGCAAAATCTTTACTGGCTTAGCAGTGACTTACTGAAAAAATACAGAAATGCAAATCTGTAAGAAAAGGATGCCAGTTTTTCGCAGCCTTTTTTACAGCCTTTTTTGTTTTAAAGAATGCAAGTCAAATTATTTTAATGGTCACTTAAGTATAACCTAGTTTATCTTGTGCTGTTCAGAAGTACAAAAGAATGTTTTTGGAAATGGAGCAGGCCCTATGACTCATCATCATTTAAAAGGGTTTCTGTCTTCACAGTCTCTGGACTGTAAAGTACTGAAACATTGTCTATTTTTTGTCTGGTTGGTTGGGTTTTTTTGTTTGGAATATAATAATGGGTTTTGTCTATGAATATAATCCTGACGTAAAACCCACTTTATGAATAACTAAATAAAAGAGATCAGATCAGTCAGCATAACTGTGGTAAATAAAAGCAACTTAACTAACAGTAGATGCACCTAAGTAGTAAGGTGGATGCAGCTAAGTGGTAAGGGTTCTTGTAAATAACATGATTTAAGGGCTGTGAATTTACTCAAGCTGCTAATAAGGAAAGGAATCACAGAGGAATAATGCTTACAATGGCTGATTTAAAATTCCAAGGAGTTAAGACTTAAAGTGTATTGAATTCTTGGGAGCTGTAAGTATAAATATTAATACCTAGGAATATTTAAAATATGGTATATATAAAAATAAATTTTGATTACATTTCAGATATGTTTGGTCTTCTGTAAAGACTATTCTC